CTGGGGCCAGTCCAGAACATTGGTGCTTCAAACCAGGAGCAGATTTCCAACCGCCCAGTTGGCTGGACCCAATTTGGCCCCTTCCTTAACTTTTCTGTTATTATGGTATGCTTCTGCTGGAAGTCATGATAGAGTCACTCTAGAAGTCCTCAAAACTGCCTGGAGAAGTGGCACAGCATTTGCTATTATCCATGGTTTTCATTATCTGGGTTACATCCATGTAACATATCCTCTGCCCCCATTTAGGTTAGAGATCGACAGCCTTAAACAGGAACAGAAGATGAAGTGTCCCTTTGACTGATCATTTTCTGAAACATGATCATTCTTTCAATGATCTATGCTTGTGGGTGCTTGAGAAACTTTCCCCTCAGCATCAGAGGGCTTTGCTTGAAAAACATGGATATTGAAACCTGATACTTTAGTCCCCCATAGTCTAAATATGGATTGTACATCTATATTCTTTAATATTCGAATTTTCATATCTTCCCTAACTTTCCATTATGCTGTAGAACTTCTGGGATAAGGATGTTTTTAGTACAACTTGAAAAAAAATGGAACAGTATAATGATTTGTCTCCTCTTCTCAATCATTGCCAGGCATAATCTTTGGAAACGCTCTTCTTGTATCCCTGAAGACAATTATAAAGTTGTGCTGTGAGTAGCTTATATCTGTACATTTATTTTAACAGACTTTTTAAAAAAATCGAGACTTTTTGCATGCATCTTGATGCAAAACAGATGTACCTAAGATTGATATTATGAATTGTACTTTGTCTCCTTATTTATGTAGTATCTCTTTCTTTTAACAGCACCATTATATATTACTAGGCTGAAAGTTGTTGGCTAATTAGAAGAATAGTCTTTTTTTTTTCAACGCCCTTACACTTGCCTCTTCTCTACATCTCCACTACAATGTAAGCCTATTAACCAAAACTTCTCTTAAAATTAGAACACCATACTTGTTTTTTTCACATAACTTTATCTGTAGGTAAATTATATGTGTGTATGTGTGCATGCATGTACAAACATACATATGTTTATGCATGTGCATATTTACATCTCCGCTTTGTTTTATGCCTTTTATAAATTCATGGAGATGGGCAGGGTTTTACATGGGTTAGGAAAGAAAGTTTTCTACTGCTATTATGGAAATCTCCTATTAAACCTATTTTTTTAAAAAAAAATGGGGTGAAGATGCTAGAAATGAGATAGTTACAGATGGTCTCATCACATAATGAATTGATCGTGTTATATCTGTCAGTTACTTTCCTAAACAGAAAAATTTCAAATGCCCCATGCTAATGCAGCACCCAGTAGTACAAAGCTCTCTCTCAAAGCATTATTTGACATTTTTATTTATTCCATGGGTCAAAAGGTTTTTGCCACATCCTCATACCATAATACTCTTGCAACACCTCCATTCCTCCCTTTCTTTCTCTCAGACTTACCTGTAGTTTAAAACATTCAAAGTGTAGCTTTGGCACAGAATACCTCAACAGCCTGTATTAAAAATGCCCTTTAAAAATTCCAAACCTTTGAACTAAAAGAAATATCTCAAGAAGTTTCCATGGAAAGTTCATCTCAGTTGGTTCAATTCAGCTACACATATTAGATGCACCTTTTCAAATAATAGAAAAAAGTGTAAAGAGGTCAGACCCAATCAATACACTTGTTCAAACAGAATTCCAGTCACTGTGATGTATGTACATTTTGTGCTCTCCCTTTGTACTCTGCACTATGAAGAAAGGTTCCTTTTGGTAGTCGGCAATAAAAGTCTTACCCTTTTGAATGCAGCTCGCCAACCAATAGCAATGTTTACAAGGCGAAAGCATACAAGCATCCGACGCCTTCTCTGTACTACTTCTAACTATGTAATTCATACACACTACATTAGTAAATGCTTTAAAATACAGAAAAACAAACAGAAATCAAGAAGACCTGGGCCTCAAAAGCATGCTTTTCCCAATCTCAGAAGTGTAGATCTTAGTGCTGCTTGTTTTTTTTCTCTCTCTCTCAAGTGTAATGAAATAAATTGCTATGGAACGATATACAAAGTTCCCCCACAACCCCAAATATATTTCGACAAAGCCACTGAAAGTAAAACAAAAAAAAGCTTTGCAAATTAAGCACACATTTTCTGGATAGGTATATGTCTGAGACTGAGGGGAGAACACATTTGCCAGAGATGACAATGATTAGCCGACAATGTAATAATATGGTTTTGAAGAGTTTAGATTAGTCATGAAGAGTTTAGATTAGTTAGAAGAATATGTTATATTGCTGCTAATAACTGTGAACCTATAGTCATTGCGAATATGGGTCTGAACACAGGCCATGTGGCAAGCAAGGTATTTTCACAGAAGGACCTGGATGTTCCACAATGTAAGTAACATTTTAAGCAGGAGAGGAAGCTGCAAATAAGGAAATCTGGGGTGAGGGGGGCAGTGAACATAGCAGACCTTTTCTGTATAAACCACTCTTCTGCCATCCTGAAGAAATAGCTTTCTATCTCTTGGAAAAGGGGAGGAGGCTTCTGATGTAAGGAAAAGTACAATGTTTGGGCTGTCCTTTGCAATTCTGTGGATCTTCATCTGAATAATTGGGCAAGATCAAGATATTTACATTAAGAAAATGGTCATGAGAAGAGCTGGTTTTCATTTCCTTGAAGATTGTGCTTCTGAGATTGCTTTTCACCACAAAACCTTCTGAGGGCCATGGCATTCATGGTGATCTGCATCCTAACTGGTTCTTTGCTCCTTAAACTCCTTTAAAAGGATTAGCTTCTACCCTACTTTCCGGACAAAGATCCAACTGGGTTGTCTTGTGTCTGTCCACAACAGACAACTTTGAATTAGAGACTGGAGAGGAGTTAGTGGGAAGAAGAGGTCGGTATTAGAATGTTGTTGTTTTTTGTATAGTGTTCTACCAAATCCTTCTTATCACCCCTAACTTTCTGTTTTTATTTTTGTTTGTGTGGTGTTTCTGCTTTTTAAACTCTGCTTTTAAGAAATCTTCATTTTAGATTCTACTTGATGCAAACAGAATCATCAAGGTTGTTTGGAATTTTGGACTTGGGTATTGTCACCATTATTATTATGGGCCTATGCTACTATTTATTATGGAAAATGTATAGCATCAATAATCTAACTGATCTATTTAGCATCAAGAATCTAATTGTGAAGACATCAGTAATAAAGATAGAGTCAAGGCAGCTAGTACCCCGAACTGAGTGAAGACATGTTTCTCCAGAAACCACACTGTGCAACTATTGTCCATTGCTATCTGAACCACATCCCCTTGTAACAGGTAAGAGTGCTTTCAACCCTTGGAAAAGTATGAGGTGTTTATGAACTCAGCTCCTGCATTTAGGTAATGCCCCACAATTGTGCTTGAAGATACTGACTGATGTTATTGTATACAGAGCATGGTATACAGAGCATCACCAAAGTAAGATCCTGATCAAAAGTCAGAAGGCCTACAATGATCTATTGGCTGTAGAGAGCCCTCTTCCTCCAGGTGATAAAGAACCAAAATGGTCTTGATGACTGTTGTGTCTCCATAAAGACGCTCACTGTTTACCCCAATTTAAGCCCTTTTTAGTTAGAGATTAGCATTTCATTTACTGATTTGTGGGGGGTCAGTCTGGATAGCCTCTTTCCCTTTAAGCCACCCCACCCCTTTAAGAATCCTCCCAAGGATGGAGCCTCAGATAAAATCCATGTTCCTTGGAGAACCAGCCATCTTAGAAGTAGAAGGTGAGGAGAGACAAAGGTCAGGAAGGTCCACAAAATAGCACGTCCAGATGGAGTTATGTTGGAGTCAAGTGAGAGACATTTAACGTTAAAGTAAAAATTAGTTCAAATCAAGCATTACTGCAAAGACAGACAGACACCAATAAGAGAAGAAACAGAGCAGAAGTTAAGTACTTCAGTGCCCTTCTCTCAGTGACTTTAACTCCCTTCCAAAGACAGTTAAGACGAGGGAGGAGTGCCAGTTAAGACCAGGGAGGAGAAAGGGGTTGAAGCCTTTTTCAGTTACTAAATCTTGTTGACTGTTTGGCTAAGTGTACTCCATGTGTTCCCTGCGCAACCATTTCACCTTCCAAGCAGTTAGATAGCATGGGGGAAGAACAATGACCATTACCATGACTAAGATGACCTGTATCAGTATCAAGAATCGTTCCATTGTTTCAAAGTCAGTGGTGCCTTCTCTGCATGATGAGTGCTTAATCTTTGAGTTTGTTCTCATTGTTTCAGTGTGCACTCAAATGACTGATGGTCATGAAGGCTAGCTGAGCCAACTGTTCCAACATCAATAATGGTACCAAAGAAGTACTATTTACCTGGGCGCGAACAACAAAACATTCGGCTTATTGTGTGATTAACAAACCATTGGTTCTGACATAACCTTACATGATTACACAGTACTTGCAGTCCCATTTGGTCATATTTGTCTATTAAATCCCAAACAGATTTTGCACACAGACATCATGGGATTCCATCAGAGTAGACACACACCATGTCTGTCTGAAAATCAAACCTTACAATGATAACTGAAGAGAACCCATAAGGCAGATGCCTCCAATCAAATCTTGTCCCATAATAAAGAGAACTCTCTCTAATGACAGCAATGTTTACAACTAAGAATTTGAAGACAAAGCAATTGACAAAATAAAAATTCTCAACAAAATTTCCAAAAGATTCTACTGTAGGTGTAACCCTTGTGGGAGACAAAGTAGAACTGAACAGATGAGGGAATTAGCAAATAAGGAAGAAAGGTCAGGTGACCACAAGATCCCTACATTTGATGCACAGGGATCTTGACAAACAAGTACAATTTCCGAATACAGCCATACATTCAAATTCCTTACATTAGAAGAAAACCTTTCTCTGCAAATCTGAACCAAAGATTACGGAACAGTAAAAATCAAATCAAATTCAAACCAAACTTAAATTGAATCAAAATTTGATGAAAAATGGTTGAAAATCCAAAGGCAGATCCAAAATTATGTTAATAGTTTAATATGTACATGTACATTATTCCCAAATGGTTACATTTAAATTAATGATTTGTTGCAAAATATTTATTTCAACATTTTAATAAAGGCAAAAATAAAATAATTTCATTTTGGCAAAATGTTACAGACTTGACACTGGCAGTTTTCTGTTAGTTAAAAATAGATTGAATTTTCTAAATACATTTCTCAAGAAGAGCGTAGCTAAAATAGAGGAAGTTTTTTATTTAATAATCTTAAACATAGCTGCAGTTGTGTATTTATTTATTTATTTGCATAAGAGGCATAAGTTAGGTGGGAACAGTGTTTTTACTTAAATAATTTACTGATGGAGAACATGAATAAATTGTTTCTCTTATGTGAAACTCTTTTTTTCAGTGAGTAGAAAACAAGCCTGAATCCATCTCTTGACTACTCTTAATAAAAGAAAGTCTGAAACTGGCTCGTATTAGACTGTACTTGCTATTCTTTTAAGAAATGCAGACAATTGAGCTGAGTCTGAGAAAAAGATTAATGCCAGCATTCACATGAAATTTTCTTACAGAGATTATTTCTGTGTAAGATATAAATATTTACACCTGCAACACATGAAACATGGTGCATTTTGCAAGAAATACAGGTTGATCCACACAAAATTGAAGACCAAGACTGTATCTCAAAAAGAGAAAAGACTGGTTTTAGTACCAAGCTCTTGGTAGTACCAACCTCCTCATCTGTTTCTTAAAGTACTCTATTTCCCACCTGCTTTTGGATGCCTGAATGTGCCACATTTTTTTCTGAGCATTCTACTCTACTCTGAAGCACATTTGTATATCATGAAGAATTCATTTGACTTCAGAGGTAAGTTCATTAAATTTGGTGGGTTACAGTGCAGAAAGTTCATCTAAGCTTATCTAAGGTACCTGGAAGCCTTTTAACCATTGTAAAATAACCCAAGCAGCATAGCAACCAAAATTCGAAGTCTATTCCAAAATTGCAATGCTAGCTTGCAACCCACTGCAGGGAATTTGCTGGTCAAAGTAACAAAACCAACCAACCAGCTTTTCTACAGCTCTTATTTTGGAAAACCATCACGGGCCAAGAACCAAAGGCATGTTCTTGTTCCTAAAACTAGTGGAATTAGACCTCCTGCCCTTTGTGAAAACAAAAACCTGTTGTAAAAGGCCTTTCCAAGGTATAATGGGGAGCCACAGGATGATCACTGATTCTGAAGATATAGTGAAAGTAAATCACTTGATCCTGGCCACGGAAAAACATTTTGAAATATTTTTTCAAAATTTTCATTTTTAAAGTGCATTCTATTTATTTTTCAGTTCCTTATAGAAGTAGCGGCCCAAAAGAGAAGGGGCATTATGGTTACTGGATTTTTCTGGATCTCAGTTTTTGAGAAGGCAGAGTTCCCTTTTCCCCATTGTTTACACCAAATTGTCTCTTCTCAAAAATGCACCTGGGAGGTTCGTGTTCTAAAAGCCTTTAATAACTATAAAATTGTTAGAAAAGTCCAGTTACATGTTACATTCTCTACATGAATGCCACTCAAAACTCTCTATACTCAAATAGAGGCTCTAGATCTGCAGATCTAGAATCCAGTTTTGTAAATCGAGACCAAATTATCAGGTGGTGATTTGCCATGACTTAAAGATCTGTGTGAATTGCAAGCAAAACTAGAAAGCCTCTCAGAGCAGCAGATGGAGATATGATAGTGAAAATGTCAGGACTACTGACAGCACACTCATGTAGAGAGGTTAACATATAGATCCGACATGACAGCTTAAATTATTAAATTTACCAAAGAGTCCAAATTATGATTTTTTTTCTTATATTTGTTCTCCTATGTAAAAATGAATGCACTGTACCAGAACGTGGAAATACTTTTTACAGTGCACTTCAAATATGTGTCAACTCATTCATTATAAATATTTTGGATATTTGCAAACAACTCACATTAGGTCTTAATTCCCACTTATTTTAATTGATCTATTAAGAGTTACAATTAGATTGGGATCAAATCTTTTGTGTTTTAACACATTTTCAAGTTCAAAACAATTGTTAGTCATTATATCTTTCCATTAGCCAATCTCTAGTCTAGGATATAACAAATTATCTTCTGTTTAAGATATAAGAAAATTAAGGCAGTAGCTGAATTAATAAAGTTTAAACAGACAGTTGTATTTATTCTTTTTTCCTGCTGAAAAATATTGGTTAAAGAGAATATATATGTGTGTGTGTGTGTGTGTGTGTATAAATATATAATTAAAATGATACATTCTCTTATCATTGTATTGCTTTATATAATTCAGTTTAAAGTGGGTGATCCACCTTAGATGCAGGACCCATACGGAGAGGATTCCTACTGAGCTCAAGAGAGACCAGTTTCCTCACTCCCTGTTCGCTCCAACATGTTGCTCAAAGGGCTAAGGGAAATGCGGGCCTTTTGTATTTTTTTAACCTGCTATATTGGCATGAAACATGCAACTCAAACTCAGGAGTGCGAATAACTGGAATCCAGGCTTGCAACCCAGTGCAGGCTCAGTATATCAATAGCTTTTCATTGCTGCCTACTGGGACATACAATTGCAGGTCCTAAGAGGAAGAGGAGGAATCAACATTTTATACATCTACCAGAGCTGGTTGCTGAGCTGCACCAAGGACTATTAGGAAGAAAAGAGGGTCCAACCATTTTATATTTAGGCCAAATAAGCTGCTCCTGAATTAGAATAAGGACTGGATTATACCCTAGGTTTTTCACTACCCAGATTCTAAGTTTGAAATACAAAATGTATTTAAAACTTATAACCCAACTCTCATTAGGTTGGACTAGGTTATGCAACAATACAACAGAGTTCTGTAACTATGTGTGTACAATACTTATTAAAACACAAAAAGTTCTTTGTGTGTTTTGCAGCTGCTTTTAGTTTTTACATGGAGTTTCAGAATCTTTACAATTCTGAATGCCTCAATAACATTCCACCTGATTATGAACCAGCGGTCACAAAGGAATTGTCTGCTCTGAGAAAAATAGAAAAAGACCTCAAGTCACTTTTGCTTAGACACTCTGATGTGCTTTCAAAAATCGTCCTCCTTTAAAATAAAACAAAGATCCTGTCTTTACAGTATGCGCTTGAATTTTGATATGAATGTAGCCCTTTTTTTAAAAGAAAAAAATCTAATATTTATTCTGTTCCTAAAAATACACTGGCTAACAATCTGGTAATTACACCCAGAAGGCCTATTAACAACAACAGGAGTCGAATGCGCTTAACTATGTGGTGCGTTGCGGCCAGTGTCAATATTTTACATTGTACATTAAAAGTGCTGTTTGTATTTTAAAAATGACTAAATGCAGATAAACTAAATCGTTTTCTTATTTTGTACAAAATACTTCTGTGCAGTTATAAACAGTACTTATAGCATGTATTCAAATAAAAAAATATCAGAGAAAGCTAATGTCAGGATTTTTTTTCTTCATCCTTGCTGTTCTTGTTCAGTAGGTCTTTGTTCACTGGTGTACATCAGAAATCAGCGTTCGGTAACTGCTTTGGCTAATATGAATGGAAAGACAATGCAGTTAGCCTTTATACAAGGAGATACACAAGAAAGATAACAGCATGATAATGGAGCAATAAAACAATTTTTAAGTATATACTTTATGAAGTTCTACAACTTAGAAAAAGAAATAATAGGTACCGACTCTTACATTTGAAATCATTTTTCTCTCTGACTGTAGAGCTCACTTTAGCATTTTTAAAATGAGAAAAAAATAATGGGGATTCTTCTGGAAGTCTATTTACATTAATTTGCTGGTAGAGCTACATTTTTTGAGTTAAACTGTGCTGGGTGTCAAAGGGTCTGATGGCTCTGAGAAGTCCTCCATGTTGGGGATTCAACTAAAGTTTCACCATCATGTACAATGCTTAACGGAATGGGCAATGTTTTAGGGTAGTGATTTTTAACTTGTGGGTCCCCAGGTGTTTTGGCCTAAAACTCCCAGAAATCCCAGCCAATTTACGAGCTGTTAGGATATCTGGGAATTGAAGGCCAAAACGTCCAGAGACCCACAGGGTGAAAACCACTGTCTTAGGGGCCAAAGCTTTGTTAACTATACATCTGACCATGTAGAGATATGTCATACGAATTTATGAATACACAGGAGAAAAGGTACAGTGACTTTTCTTATTCCAAATCATTGTGTAACTTCAGCGTTAAGATAATGATAAAAACCCAACTGCTATTTCAGTTAGAGAATACCCAGTGAAACAGTTGCTAAATAATATCAATGTATTTATAAATAGAATTGATCTAATACAAGGGTGGGCAATTGCAGAAGGCTAGGGGGCCACATCAGAGCCCCAGCAGACCTTGGAGGGCCTTAAGCCAGACCATATTTGAGTGGAAATCATTTCCTATATATACACGAGTATAAAAAGGTTTCTATTGGGCTTAAATTAATCTACCTCTTAATATGGTGAAAATGTACCCCAAATGGAGGTTATTTTGTAGCATTTAAAAAATGTTGCAAAATGATTATTGACTCCTTGGAGGTCAGTGGGACTCCTGGTGGACTGAAATGCTCCATAAAGGGCATAGGGTTGGAACAAAATATTTGTTTGCAATTTCTAGTTACCCCTAATGGACCCTGGGAGCCACAGAAACATTATTACAGGTGATCCACAGGCCAGACCTTGCTTGCCCCTGATTTAATGGGTGTAACTTAGCTTGGACCAACAATTGGGTTTAGGTTGAGGCTTCAAGAAAGGATTCTTTGTATCTAGGGATCAGAAAAGGAATATTCTTAAACCCATTTTTCCTACTTCCAACAGACCTCACTACCTCTGAGGATGCTTGCCATAGATGCAGGCGAAACGTCAGGAGAAAAATTGCCTCCAGAACATGGCCATACAGCCTGGAAAAACCTACAACAACCCATTCTTAAAGGAGTTGGGAGCTTATTTGATCAGTACTCATTAAAATATATAAGTTGTGAAATCCTTATTTTATATCAATAACATTGTCTCAATTTTTTCCTCAGTAAATGTTTTGATTAAATGTGATGACCATGATCCTTAAAATAAAAGAGTAATTCCTATCATTTTAGTCCCCATTTGTCTGTGCAACCATTGTGCAAATGTTATTACCATTTTGCCCCCTATAGCAGGGGTAGGGAACCTTTGGCCCTCCAGCTGTGGTGGACTTCAACTCCCACAATTCCTTGAGGCTCGGCATTGGGCCAAGGTAAGCCTTTGGGGCGAATGCCGAGCCTCAAGGAATTGTGGGAGTTGAAGTCCACCACAGCTGGAGGGCCAAAGGTTCCCTACTCCTGCCCTATAGCAAAGTCCATTCCATTTTAACAAACAATATATTAAATTAACTGACAAATATAACTCAGTGATAGTGAACTGCTAACCTATGGCCAGAGTTAGAATATCACTGGATTTTACCCCACTTTCTCAACCTTTCCCAATTCACAGCAGGGATAAGAAAATACTAGTTTTTACCTTGCAGGCACTGCTCCAACTGGAAAATGAAAGAATGCTAGAAAACTTTGAGATAGTGTAGATACCTTTGGGGCAACCTTGTTTCCAAGTGTAAAAGGTTCATGGCAATTTTTTTAATGTTGTGTGGTTAGATTTCCTAACTAGGTTGTGTAGAGAAATAAAGGTTGCTTATCTGTAACCGTATTTCTTCGAGTGTCTATCCGTGAAATTCACACCTATGGGTTCTCCTGTGCGCACGCGCAGCAATCCGGAACTTCTAGAATTTTTAATGAATTTTTAAATGATTATTTAAAGAATAAACATAAGCCCCGCCCACTCTCCGCCCCCCCGGTATATCAGCCCCCGCGGGCGTCTGAGAGGTAGTTCCCCCAGCGCCAAATAGAAGCTTAATGGAGGCATGACAGAGGGGAGGATGGGCGGGTTGTGTGAATTTCACGGATAGACACTCGAAGAAATACGGTTACAGGTAAGCAACCTTTATTTTTTCTTCGTGTCTTCCGTGAAATGCACACCTATGGGTGAATAGCAAGCTACTGACCTGGAGGTGGGTCATGCCACACAGGAAAACAGTACAGCTCTGCCGAAGGCTGCATCCTTCTTGGCCAACACATCCAGTTTGTAGTGTGATGCAAACGTGGACGGTGTGGACCACGTTGCCGCTCTACAGATCTGGTCAAGCGGAACTCCACGCAAAAAGGCTTGGGAGGTGGAGAGTGATCTGGTTGAGTGGGCCACCACGCGAGATGGTGGCTGCTTTCCTGCCAATTGGTAGGCTAGTCTGATCGTCGAAACGATCCAAGAGGCTATGCCCTGGGAAGAGACAGGGTGCCCCATCATGTCTTTCCTGTATTTTAAAAAGAGCCTTGGGGATTTCCTATGAGGGGATGTCCTATGTAAATAGAATGAAATGGCCCTCTTAACATCCAATGAATGGAGGGCCACCTCAAGTGGAGACGATGGATTCGGGAAGAACGCTGGTAGTATGATGTCTTGAGACATGTGGAAGTGAGAGACTACTTTAGTCAAAAAAGTGACATCAGTACGAAGGACAACCTTGTCATTGTGGAACCTCACGTACGGTGGGTCCGATCTGAGGGCCGTGAGTTCACTGGCTCTTCTGGCCGAGGTGATAGCCACCAGGAATGCCGTTTTCCAAGAGAGGTGAGATATGTCATTGGAGGCCATGGGCTCAAAGGGCGGCTTTGATAGCTGGGATAGCACCAGCTCTAGGCTCCATTGTGGGGGAGGGGGGGCGACAGGAGGGTGGATATTTTTGTATCCTTTCAAAAACAATTGAACCAAATGATCTTGAAAAAGGGACGGCAAGCCACATTTTCTTCTAAAGGATGATATAGCAGCTAGGTAGCATTTAACTGAAGAGAAGGAAAAACCTTTATTAGAAAGGTGGACTAGGAAGTCCAGCACTATGGAGATGGGAGCTGTAGTAGGGTTGTGGCCAACTGATTTTGTGAATGTCGTGAATAATGACCACTTATAGGCATAAGACTTTGTGGTAGATGGTTTATGAGCAGCGAGGAGTATGCGTGATACGTCCTCTGATAGATTCATTGTGGTCTGATCCTCCATGCCGTTAAGCGGAGGGAGGGGAGGTCTGGGTGGAGAACGAGCCCGTTCTCCACCGTGAGAAGGTCTGGCAAGGGATCCAGATGGAAGTATTCCCTGTTGGAAATTTGGAGGAGTGTGGCAAACCAGTGTTGGCGTGGCCACCAAGGGGCGATCAGGATGCAATCCGAGTTGTCCTGAATTATTTTGGCTATGACTGGGGATAGGAGAGGGAGGGGTGGAAAAATGTAGATGAGGTTCGGTGTCCATCGGAAGAGGAAGGCGTCTCCGAGACAACCTGGGGATGCGTGAGGGAGGAGTCTTGCGCAGTATGTTGGGCAGTGGGTGTTCATTGGGGACGCGAATAGATCTATTGCGGGCGTCCCCCATTTGTGTGTGATGGTTTGGAATTGGGACATGTGGAGATGCCATTCGTGGTTGTTCTTTGTTGTTCTGCTTAGTGAGTCTGCCAATGTATTGTCTTGGCCTGGTAGGTGGATGGCCGAGAGGAGGATGTTTTTCTGAATGCACCATTCCCAGATGCGAGTTGAGATTGACGTCAGTGTTTGGGATCGAGTTCCCCCTGTTTGTTGATGTAATATTTGACTGCAGTATTGTCCGTTACTATTTGGACTATATGGTTGGAGGTGATGCGGGAGAAGGCTCGAAGGGCCTTCTCCACCGCCATCATTTCTAGTGCATTTATGTGGAAGCGGCGCTCCTGAGGGAGCCAGTGACCGCTGATTTTGAATCCCTTGAGATGTGCTCCCCAGCCTGAGTTGGAGGCGTCCGTTGTCAGGGACATGGACGGATGTGGCTGTATGAATGGCATGCCTAGGCGAACATTGTGTACCTTTGTCCACCATGTGAGGGAGTGTAGCACTACGTGTGGTGGGTGGAGGATTCGGGACTGCGGATCGTGGAGGGGGTCGAAAGTTCTGATGAACCAGTTTTGTAGAGGCCTCATCCGAAGCCGGGCAAAGGGGGTTACGCTGGTAGTAGATGCCATATGGCCAAGTATAGATTGGATGGCCCAGGCCGAGGCCTGTTGTGTTTGGATGAGTGAAAGAATAGCTTGTTGGAGTTTTAAAAAGCGGTCCTCTGGGAGGAAGGCTCTTTGGAGTGTGGAGTCTATGATGGCTCCTATGAATTGAATGCGTTGTGTTGGTTGAAGATGAGATTTTTTGTGGTTCACCACTAGGCCGAGATCCTGTAAAAGAGATAAGGTGTAATGAATATCTGTGCATAATTGAGACTTTGAAGTCGAGGCCAACATCCAGTCATCCAGGTACGGGAAAACTGTTATGCCTTGTTGGTGGAGGTGTGCGGCTATGACCGCCATGCATTTTGTAAACACCCTGGGGGCGGTGGACAAACCAAAAGGTAGAGAATTAAACGAAAAATGGTAATTTTGGACCGTGAAGGTAAGAAACCTTCGGTGGGAGTGTCTAATTGAGATGTGGAAGTATGCATCTCATAGGTCAACTGTTGCTAACCATGCCCCTTCGGGAATGAAGGGAAGAATGTTGGGGAGAGTGACCATGCGAAATCTGCGTGGGGTAATGAAAGTGTTGAGTTTGCGGAGGTCCAAGATGGGCCGGAGTCCACCATCTTTTTTGTCTATGAGAAAGTAATGAGAGTAGAAGCAGGTGTTAGATGTGTGTGAAGGTATGGAGGAGATTGCTCCTTTAATGAGCAAGGAGTGAACCTCGTCCCATATGGTCTGGGAGGGTTGTGTGACGATGACTTTCCCAACAGGTGGGTAGTCATCAAACTCAATTGCATAACCTCTATCAATTATATCAAGGACCCAAGTGTCTGTGGTTATGGATTGCCACTGTGGGAGGAATGAATGTAGTCTATTGAGGTAAGTGAGGTGTTGGGTGGTTGGTGGGGGAGGGAAGGAAATGTTAAAAACGTCTTTTGTTGTTGTTTGGGGGTCTGGTACCACGGTACTGACCTCTTGAGGGAAGTGGAGGGCGTCTCGTAGCCGCAGTGGGCGCATATGGTCGTTGTCGTCCTCTGTAGAATGAGGTGTTGTAAGGTTTGTTGTAAAATTGGGGGCGATAATAGTAGGAGCCCCAGCGCTGTCGTTGGTAAGTGTACGGTTGTTGGTCATATTTGTACACTGTTTGTTTCATCTCATGAGAGTGTTTTAGTTGTGAGTCGGTCTCAGGGTTGAATAGGCCTGCCTCATCCATAGGGAGATCCTCAATGAGAGAACGTTGAGATTGAGAAAGGATCGCATCTCTAAGCCATGCATGACGGCGAAGGGCTACTGATCCTGCAATTAGTTTCCCAGAATTATCAGCAGTGTTTCTTGCTAGGTCTTTTTGCAGTTTGGCTAAGAGAAGGGCCTCTTGTTGGAAAGCCTTAGCCAGTGGTTGCTCAGTTGGTGGTAAGAGTTCTAGGTATGGGGATATCTTGTTCCAGAGGAGAGTCTGGTAAACACTCATGTAAACCCCATAATGGGCCATGCGTGCGAAAAGGCATGCTGAGGAATAGAATTTTTTGGCCATAGAGTCTAGCTTCCTCCCTTCTTTGTCAGAGGGGGATGCTTGGTTTCTTTGGATAGGTCTTGGTTGAGCATCGGTCACCACAGAGTTTGCCTTAGGCATCTTAGAGAGCCATGAGGCTGTGGAAAGATCAATACGGTATAAGTTTTCTGCTCTTTTAGGGGTTGCTGGAACCAAGGCTGGGGCAACTCCTGTATTTTTTAGAATTTTCAAGAGAAATGGAAGTGTGGGCAACACAGTAGATGTAGGTGTTTGTTGTTCAGTGGATGTAAAGCATGGATCTGACACAGTATCTGAAGGTTCAGGAGTGGCAAAGTTTAGGGCTTTGGCAAGCCTTATTAACAGAGCTGAGAATTTTTTAAAATCTTCTAAATGCTGAGGGGAAGGGTCAGGGTCTGGTTGGGGATCTTAAATGACTGGTGTGTCATCCGTGGACTCCAAATCGATTGTATCTGCTTCTATTTGGGGGGGCATGGTAGGTTCCAAAGTAAAGCCCTGGGGATCCATCTCCCCTTGGGGATCTGGGGGATGAGAGAGTGTAGCGGAAGGAGGTTCACGCGGGGGTTGGGGAAAGTTAGGATCAGGATAATGAGGTGGATGGGTTCCCCTGAATGAATCAGGGGGGGGGGAGGTGGGGTAGTAGAAGGGATAAACAGGGAAGGGAGGAGGGGGAGGGTACATGTGGTAAGGATATTCCTGGTATCCATAAGGCTGCTGGTGAGAAGGAGGCACTGTGCGCGTCCTTTTGGGAGGGGGAAGAGAAGAAGTTGTGGGCTGGTGTGGAACCGGGGATGGAGAGCGGCGGCGGCGTCCGCTGGAGTGCGCCGAGGCGCTGGGCTGAGCCGGGGATGGTGACTCATCCGGTTCCGGGGATTGGGGAGGGCTGAGTGAAGGAGGTGAATTTTGAGAGGGTGGGAGGGGGGGGGGAGAGAGAAGCGTCTGGAGGAGGCTGCGGTTCCAGCTCCATGTGTGGAGCTAAGAGCTCGAGAGGGGGGAGATGGGAGGGGTCTTCCATGTGGAGGAGGGAAGGGAGCGGTTCCTGGAGCTGCAAAGTGGAACCGGGGAGAAAAGGCACAGACTGCAATACAGGGGGACTCAAGGGCTGTGTGCCAGTGAGTTGCCGTCCCTTTTTTTGTTTGTTTGATTTTTCTTTCGCTTTTGAAGACCTCGTGGTCTGTTTAGCTGTTTTGGATTTCTTTTTCTGCGGCTCCACAGTGGGAGAGTCCGCTTGCTCTTTATCCCGCCTATCCCCAATGCGTGGGGAGGGAGGCTGGGAGGTAACTTGAACAGGGGAGGATTGAGAGGCGGGAGGAGCTTGCGGGGCCAGGGCCCGCTCGTATAAGAGAGCTTTTAATCTGGCATCTCTGCCTTTGCGAGCTCTGGACGTGAAGCTAAGGCAAATCTCGCAAGTCTGGAGATTGTGAGTCTCTCCTAGACATAAAAGGCATTTAGAGTGTTTGTCTGCCTCGGGGAGGTTGGCCCCGCAGGAGGAACAGTTTTTAAAACAGAGGGAAGACATCTAGCCTGATTTAGAATGGTCGTCAGCCGGTCCGTGGTCGAGGGAAGGAGAGGTCTGGTAGTCGAGGGAGAGTCCTGGTCAAAAAAAGCCAATAGAGTCCGAAAAGAGAAGGAGAAGTCCTGACGATGCTGCCTGTTTGGCGCGGAAAAAGGAACTACCTCTCAGACGCCCGCGGGGGCTGATATACCGGGGGGGCGGAGAGTGGGCGGGGCTTATGTTTATTCTTTAAATAATCATTTAAAAATTCATTAAAAATTCTAGAAGTTCCGGATTGCTGCGCGTGCGCACAGGAGAACCCATAGGTGTGCATTTCACGGAAGACACGAAGAAAAAACATGATAATACAACAGCTGGGAACCAGTTCCTTAAGGCGGAATAAATTGATATTTCACTGGTATAAATCAGGGTATGTAAAATAGATGTAAAAATCAAACATTTACTGATAAGAAATCAGCATTGCAATTGAGTAAAGCTTCAGCTTTTATGAAGTACAGCTGAAGCATCTTCTTGCAGAGTCCAGTGCAAACATTGGATAAGCCCTCAGAAACAAAATTTCAGGACTCCAACGTTGAGCTAAGGGGACCCCATCTGGAGTTAGGACCACAGTTTAAGAAGCTTAAGATTTCTTCATACTACTTTCTAAGGTTCAAGAATGTTATGCTGTAAACTCAAAAACCAAGTACAGGCAGTCCCAGAGTTACAAACAACTCATAGTTAAGAACAGGGGTGAGACAACAGGAAGTGAGATAAATTTAACCCCAGGAAGGGAAAATCACTCCGGGAAGAGTTATAATAGAGAAAAGATGCCTCTAAGGAAGCTTTTTCGCCAATCTTTGTTTCTACAACAAACCATTTTTTTCAAAATCCAATTATTACAGGGACATAAAATGAGGTGCAATCTTCTAAACAGGGACACAGCCAAACAAACATCAGAGGGGTGTTAATCCTTCCCTATGCTATCCAAAGCTATCTATAACTACATCTATATCTATATATCTGGAGTTACACTTTTAAAAATGTACCTGCTCCAACTTACAATCAAATTGAACTTAAGAACAAAACTACAAAACCTATCTTGTCTGTAACTTGGGGACTACTTGTACTCAGAATCCAAGACTCTTTCAAAATGTCTAGCAACATTTCTAATACATATCAATAAAGAAAAGTTTAAACATTCATGATTAGATCCTTTCAAAGAAGACAGAGCTAAAATGATCAATTGTGACTTTGGAGGTAGCATGAGACAGGAGATGCATCTGCACCACAGCAAATAAAGTGCAAATATAGAGAGGAAAGTGCAGCAATATTTGCTATTTTAGGGTAACTATGATTGCCATAGGCATGTTGAAGACACATTCCCTAAATTGCAGCAAACATTTGTTTGATTGAACACTTTGAACTTATTTGGTTAGGAAAACGATAGAAAGCATTCAACAAATGGTCGATTTTCCATCTCTTTTCAATCAATGTATATTTTGATAAAAGATGTAAGAGTTTTAATTTTTCCACTTTATGACAGGAAATTATTTGTGCTGCATTGCATATGCTGTATATTTTCTGCTATCAATACTAACTTCTCACAGACTCACAGCAATTGCTGGACATTTCCACAGGCTCATATGCACTTCATAAAAGAATTTTTTAATTACAAGAGAAAGTGACATTTTAGATTGCAAAAGCTTGCATGCACTAATCAGGATTAAATTCACAATGAAAGGCAGCCAGCTTCCAAGAAGGTTAAAGCATAAAATTAATGGCAAAACAGGCAACCAAGAGCAGTTAGTTCTTACTTTCAAGGTGTTTAGACAAATGTGTAGTGAAATCCATTGCTTAAAGGGGGTGGCTGAGGTACAGAAGGTGAGGGTGCTTTAGATGGGTAGGTCAATTGCGGAGCTAGAAGGGATCACACAAAGGAATTAGGCACTGTATTCTCTGTCTGTCTGTCTGTCTCCCCATTTTTCTCTCACACAGAGATTTGCATGGTCATGACTGCAAGACAGCAGGCTCAGGCACATGGGACTGAACACATTTAGCACTCTGAGCACTAAAAGCAGTAAACTGTGCCAATATGGCAAATTCTGAACCATGACAAGCCAGTCTCATAATAAGAATATTTACAAAAAAACTCATTATCTTTGGTTTACTGTATTGAATCTGTTGCAAAAGAGAACTTTCTCTTCTGATCTGCGAAAATATCATGTAGTAGTTCAACTATCCCCACTAAATAACTAGAAAAAAGTCAAGAGATACATAATGAGTGATATGGCTGCAGAAGCAAAATCTAAATTTGTTATGTCACACTGAACACCCTTCACACAGGTATCACTTGTGTGGGGGCTTTCTATGCATTTGAAGCAGAGGCACATATCCCAAAGTAGTGCAAGGAAAGAAACACCTCAATCTGCCGTATAAAAGTGGCGAAAGTCTCTCTTAAGGAATTCAGGAAGTCTCATATATGAACCTAAAATATTATTATAATATTTGCTTGCTTGCTTATATCCCACCACTCTTTCAGTCCAGGGCCTAAACTACCTTTCAAAGGTTAAAAGATACAGAGCTAAAAATATTGACATCATACAGATGTTAGAAATATAATTAAACTATCAATATACAGTAAGACCTTTATATTTTAAGGCAGGGGTCCCCAAACTTTTTAAACCGAGGGCCAGGTCACAGTCCCTCAAACTGTTGGAGGGCCGGATTATAATTTAGAAAAAAAAATGAATGAATTCCTATGCACACTGCACATGTCTTATTTGTAATGCAAAAACACAAAACAATACAATAATTAAAACAAAGAAAATTTTAACAAATATAAACTTATTAGTATTTTAATGGGAAGTGTGGGCCTGCTTTTCCCTGATGAGATGGGATTGTTGTTGTTGTTGTTGTGTGCTTTCAAGTCGTTTCAGACTTAGGTTGACCATGAGCGAGGGCCGGGTAAATTACCTTTGGGGGCTGTATCTGGCCCTCGGGCCTTAGTTTGAGGACCCCTGTTTTAAGGGATATGTTCCTGGCTGGACCATGGTTACATGAAAACATGGATAAAACCAAATGCCATTGAATTATCCCCTTCCATTTCTAGAATAGCAGGATTGCATTGGAGGACCTAGAGTTCTAAAGAGATATCCTCCTCTAGGAATTTGCTAGATCTTCTAAGGCAATTTGATGGCAATTGCCAGGTCACCTGGGGGACCTAGCAAACTCTCAGAGAGCCATTTCCCCCTGGAACATGGGAAAGAGAAATCATGGATATGGGTTCCACAATGTCAGGGTCTTACTGTAATTAGAAGTAGCTAAAAGCATGACCATTGGACTGAAACCAGCTGGGGATTATCGTCAAGAAGACACTTTCTTGTGTTTCTCACCAGAAAATCTGTTAGAGTGGTGGGGCAGAGAGAAGGGCCTCCCCAGAAAATCTTAAAATATGGGCATTGCCATAATGGAAAATAGGATCCTTCAGATAACTTAAGACTTGAGCGTTTACAGGCCTTTCTAGGTTGTAACCACCACTATGTGCCTGAATGCAAAGGGGAAGCCAGCCTAAATGTTGCAGTAGGACAACTGTATGTTGACTTAGACCAGTTTCAGCAATCTGAAAGTGCTGACTTTCTTTTTGTGGGTTATATTTGAAGGCCAGGATAAAAATCTTTGTAATCAATTTTTAATGATTTCTAAAAAATAAATTTATGAATAAATCATTCAATATTTATCATTGTCATTGTCAAATAAAACTAGGAGCTGAATCTTATTGCTAGGCTCTACTAATTCTGTGAATACTACTGATCTAGTGGAACTACTGTAGTTGAGAGTAGCCATAGGGTTTAGCTCCAGGTTTGATATTTGAGGGATTTTATTATGTTGTGATTCAAAAATGTTGCTACTTATGGAGAGTAGATGATAGAAACAGAAATGGGCTACATTGGTGCATATCAAAACAGTATGCTATGCAAACTCTAAAGACCTGAGCCATTATGGATTCAATATTGCCTCTGGTATGCTCTTTAGAATAATAGAATCAGAGGTTGGAAGGGACCACAAAGGCCATCTAGTCCAACTCCTGTCATACAGTACACCCTCTCAGAGTAATCCTGCAAAATAGTCATCCAACCTGTTTGAAGGAGTCTCCACTACCCTCCAAATGCAGTCTATTCCACTATGGAATCATACTTATTTATCAGGAAGTTCTTCCTAATATTCACGCAACATCTCCTCTCTTGCTATTTAAATCCACTGGTTGTGTCCTAGTTTCTGGAACAGCTGAACATAATTTTGCTTCATCTTCAACATGGCATCCCTTCACCTCTCAGTCTTCTCTTTTTCAAGCTAAACATTCCCAGGTCCCTCATAGGACTAGTTTTTCATACCCTTTATCATTTTAGTTGTCCTACCTCTTTTTAAACTGAACTGCCCAAAACTGGACGCAGTAATCCAGGTGAGGTCTAACAAACACTCAGTACAGTAGTACTATTAAATCTATTGATCTGGACATTCCTGTTAACATGCTGCCCTCTTTGACAGCTGCATCATTGACTCACGTTCAGCTTGTGGTCTACTAAGATTCATAGATCCTTTTCACATATGCTGCTGTCAAACCAAATGTCACCTATTCTGTATTTGTACATTTCATTTCTACAGCCTAATTTGTCCTTTTTTGAAAGTAAAGTATTGCAGTACAGAAGGAACATAAAATCTTACAAGACTACGTCAGGAAAACATACAGATATATTCATAGTTTTATGAATAACTGAGCAATACCTGCCACCTCCTTGCTCCGCTGAGAGGCTTCAGAAGCCAGTGCATATGATATGTTAATGATGCGTTCTTGCTCTTGTAACTGTGAGTCTAAATTTGCAGAGATGTGATTGTCCTGAGCTGGAGGCTGTAGATTGTGCATACTATGGCAAAAAATGGGGAGGGGGAGAAAACTGAATTTTAAACAATGATGTATGAACACAGAGAGACACACCTATGATCCACAATGGAATAGACCTCAGGATTATGAAGCTGGGGATTCAAGAATAAATTGTGTATAATCTGTAGACTATGTTTAAACTTTCACTGATTTATTTTTCTCTCCCAAACTTGAAATAGTAGAAAGGAGACACTATGTATATTTTTCATCGTGATCAACATCTGGGTCTTTACGATTTAAGGCAAACCTGAGGTGAAACAGGGCCATTTTATATACTGTAGTCAGTTTATTACCGGTGTTTGCCAAATCCCAGTAAGGGAGCATAGACTAGCTCCTTTCCCTTCATGGTACTTCAGACATAAAGGTTTTGTGAAGCCATCTACAAGAATACAAAACTTCATATTAAATATATTTTCAAAAGGAATACCCCTTTTCCTTGTTTTTGCACTCAACCTCATACCTTATGGTTTAGATCATAAGGGACACTTAAACATAAGGGTCCCTTGTTTTCATAAAACGACTCCAACTCCATGTTGATGGGAAAATGGGAATGGACACACACACACACACTTTCAGCATCACCTCCCCACAGCATATTTGGGGAGGCCTATGAAGAATTGAAATTCTGCTCAAGGAACCTTATGATCAAAGATTATGTTAACAAGAACAATTTCATTAGAAAGACAATCAACGGTAATGTAAACTTTCCCATCCAACTCTTCATTTTATTTTCATGGGGATGACCTTGGCTAGTGAACACCTTGCTCGTTGTAGAATCCAGGCTAAAATACTGATACACATGGCTTCATGTCACTTTATAGTCTAAATCAAATGCTCACACCCTGCAAAAGATGGGTCTCACACACACAGGTAAAGACCCTGAATAGCAGAAGACACAGGGTGACACAATTATATTAAATTTCCCCTCTTCCCTTCACCTCCACAGGGCTCATCTTCCTCCTACGAAGGATGCCTTTGTCTTACACCCAGCTATAGGGGCACAGAAGATGCTTCTATGACACTCTCTCCACCTTACCCTACACCTCACCAGTCACTAAATAGCTATATTGGCCAATATTATGAAGGGAAGAGGGTTCTTGTGCAAGTGAATTTCTTTCTTTCTTACATGCACAAAAACAGAACTAATGGGTTGTGAATTAAGGGGTTACTTTAACTGCAGCAGCATTAGCTGGCCCTTGTATCACAGAAGATAGAGCTAATCTTCACATTTAAACTATAAATAAACTGCCAGAGGAACAAAAATGAAAAGTATATAAAGGCTTTGCCTTCACTCTACTTATATGCAGAATATAAGATATCCATATTACTCTGCTACCGTAAAAAACCCCAAACCTTATCTCTTTTAGTGTATTACAGTACTGATCCTTTTCTATTTAATTTCAAATATTAAAAATAAACAGGAGTAAAAGGTACGACATTTAGGAATCTGACCTGGACTTGGTAAGGATATTCTTTATTTTTTCTGCCGTACGGTGCCTTGCTGCTAACTCTTCTGGGGTGAGAGGTTCTTCTGGCTCCAGCTCAACGTAACGCTCTGGAATTGCAACCTTTTCAGGTTTTGACAACTGGGGAAATTGTTATAAATGGTTACAGCAATATGTAGAAAATGTTATGATCAACTGAAATAAAACTTTTCAGATCTACAAAAATAAGGGGGAAAGTGCAACCCCAGCATTTGAATCTTTCAACTTGTGTGAGAATTTCCGAATGTTCATTTTTTAAAATGATGTTTTTGGAAAGAAAAAATTCCCTATATTCCCTATAGTATTGTGCTATAAACCTCTAGGATGTCTAGAACTATATTATAAACACTTAATTTACTACAAACACTAGCCTTAACTATTCAACAGCTGGTTTTACTAATACTACTACCTAATATCAATAATTACATGGCTGATGGTATTGTTGTGCGCCTTTAAGTTGTTTCCAACCTATGACATCCCTAAGATGAACTTATTATGAATTTTTACTGGCAAGATCTGTTCAAAGGGGATTTGAATCTGACTTCTTCTCAGGCCGAGAGAGTATAACATGCCCCAAAGTCACAACATAGCTTTACATGGCTGAGCAGGATCCTCAGGATTAGGAAACTGGTCTTCCTGTATTCTAATCCAGCACTCAAACCACTACATCACATTGGTTCTCTTCAATTGGTATTACTACAGTATGCACATATAGTAAGTATTTCCTTCTTTTTATCCAGAAATGTGAACATTCCCTCAGGGTTCCATGAATAATGCTAGTTTGATTGTGATTTTGAAACACTATTTTACCATTATTCAATTAAGTAAGATCAGGGCTGTGAACAAGACATATAAAATGGAAATAGCTTATTTCCTTGTTATGAAAGGGAGGTCTTTTTACAAGTGCAGACCTTCACTGATTAAATATCAAGACTTGAATGCAGAGTCAATGTCAACTTTAAAAGTCTGACTAGGTTTCCAAATTAAATGTGGTAGGATTTATAGATATCTCAGGATCTCAGGATCTAATTGCTTTTTCAAACACAAAACATTGTCCTTACGTTCAGCATACCACCCCCCCACCGCCATTTCTCCATTTTACAAAGAAATGACATTCTTCCTTAGGACCACCAGATGGTGCTATAGCTTTCAAATACATCCTTAGGAAAATAAATTTCAATATCCTTTTATTTTCCATATAGCTTATCTGTAGTACCAAATGTTCTTTTTTGGGAGAACACGTAGAAGCCATTGTGCACTCCATTTTCGAATGAGTCACCATTTGAACTGTTGCAGCTAATAGGAGCTCTGCACACTGACACTGTGTATTTTGCTCTACTTTTAATAATTTTGCAGTATTAATTCAATTAGCACATTTTCCAACCTGCTGCCTTCTTACAGCAGGTTGGAAAATGTGTATATGATTCAAGGCATAGCATTCCCAGCTAGATGAACCATCAGGCATGGAGAATGGGAATGCTGTGAGCATCTGGGAAGCACCAGGCTAGAAAAGACTAGCACATGATGTGCACTTTATCTCCTCTTCTCTAAAAACACATTTAAGACTTCAATATTCAGGACACCTCTCATATAATTAAACTTTATCCCCAGTAACGGACATAAATCCTTCTCCGCAAGAATAAGCCCTTTCTCCTCTCAAAACAAAAACAGAAACTAAAATTCTTTTTTTCAGTTAGACTGTTATAACAGGTTGAAACAGTTCCCCTCTATTAAAAGAAACTGTCAGAAAGGGAAAATAAAGATTTGAAGGAAACAAACTGGGAAAAAGTGATGGAATATTTTAAGCAAAGGAATAAAAAGATCCTGATATAATCGAGGAAGAGTAGGAGGGAAGGAAGAGGAAGAGAAAGAATACGCGGAGAGAGGAAGAGGAAGAAGAGGGGAAGAAGGTTAGAAGAATGATAGAGAAGACCTTGTGAAGACCCCGGGAAGTCGAAAGAAAAAGTTTTAAAAATGGGCTTTGGGCTATAAATCTATTTTTTCTATTTTTTTTTGTTCTGCTTTCCCTTTCTTTTCTTCTTTTTTCCCTCTCGTCTGTCCTATCTTATGCACTATATCCTTTTCTGTTTCGGGAATATACTACATACACACATTCTACCTGTTTCTGGTAGCCTTGGCTACTAATCTATATTTTAAATGTATGTGGAAAATTGAATAAAGATTATAAAAAAAAAGAAAGGAAAAATAAAGATTTCAATCGCCGGTGTCACCTGAAAACTGAAGAACTTGCAGGAATCGCGTGGCTCACCTAGCCCGCTTTGCCAAATCACTGCCATTTTGTCCAAAATGAAAATGAACCACGTTTTGCACCACTATGTCTCTCAGAAAAATCCTGATTTCCTGAAAAAATACAGCCATCTACTCTCTTTGGAAGACAAAAACAGCTCTGAAGCCAGTAGAGAACACTGGCTTGTTCATTCTCCTCTCCGTGTCCACCTGAGTGCCTTGTAAAATGCCACTCTGACCACTACATCCTGGTTTTGCTGTATAGAGGAACTGGGTACAATGTTGCCATGCTACTTTGCCGTTTGCTTTTAGTGGACTTGCTGTTTTGCACGTTTTTGAAAATATTAATAAAAAATATTAAATATAAAATATTTACATCCAGTGAAAGGCCAGGGACCCTGGAAGTGTGGTGGCCTGAGGTGTGGCGGGAAAGGCCTGCCTCCCTGGCCTCTACAAACCCTGGAAGTGCGGCAGCCAGAGGCACGGCGGGGAAGGCCTGCCTCCCTGGCCTGCTACTGCCTGTGTGGCTCCGGAGGCTCTGTGGAGGCCAGGGAGGTGGGTAAGGAAGCGCGGGTAAGAAAATAATACATAAAATATATAAAATAATGTATAAATATTAAAATTAATATGGTGTCACGGAACCCCTGTGATAAGTGAGAGAACACCGTACTTCAATCCAGGCAGTGTGGGAGGACTAGGATTGCTAGTGCCAAAGACAGGAAATAGACAGTTTCTCTGTATAAGAGAACTGACACCATTTTATAAGGCAAGAGGTCTGGTCAAGGAAGGGACAAGTAGGTTTCTTTGCTTTCTAGTCTTTTGATGAAGGAGAAAGGGAAGATATTAGCAATTGTGGCACAAAAATGAGTGGTGCCAATCGGAGAGAGGTGAAATTGGTCCCAAAACCCTCTGACGGTGTCCACCGTCAATCTTGTAAACAAGGTGAGAAGAAATTTTTGACAGAAACGGAGAACTGACATGTAGCCTTACCTCTCTGCTAATATCCAATTTGTAATCTTCAAGTTCTAGGTCTGCTTCTGTCACTGACACAGGCTCTATTTTTACCCAGTTATTCTCCTCTTTCTGTTCTGTTCGCATTGCTCTTTCCAGTAGCTGCAAGTCAAATTCTTGCTCCCGCTTCCACTAATGACAGATAGGAAACAATGACAGGTTTGACTATTACAACTAATAAATAGTGCAGAAATGTTTGCTCCCATTACCTCCAGCTCTGAACTGATGACTGAGAAAGTAGGACTCACCACGACATTTGTTTCTGGATTTCCCTTGATGGAGTACTCATCCTCTCTGACCAGCAGAGGGTAATCTAATCTCAGCACACAGATTTCAGGAGACAGGTTAAACTGGCTACAGATATTTCAAATAAATGCATGATCTTGGGGGGGGGGGGGGGTTGCAAGAGCAACCACACTAAACTACACTAATGATATAAATTGAAGTATGAATAAGGTCTATCATTAGAGAAAGTTCAGCAGAATTCAGTATATTCAAATTTTGTATTTTATTACTATGGAGAAATCACCAAATAGTGACAATCTTGATTCAGAAGCTTTAAAAATAGTAATTTAGAAGCTGTTCCACCTAAGCATAAAATAAAACTTTTTTTTACAAAAATTGAGCACTTGAGGACAGAGATATAATATGTATGAACAACTCTGCTATTTCTCCAAATACGTTTTACAATGCAATTATGAAGGCAATACATTTTCTACATTTCGATGAGTGGAAATTTGGAGGGAAGGGGAAAGTTGTAGCACTGTAGCCTTCACTTATGAAAAATATGACTGACTCGTCTACTTCCTGAATATCATCGGTCAATGGAACAAAGAGATACCATGAAATCTCATTCATAGTTTTAAATTAAAGGTTGTGTAAACATTTAGAAATCATAAAAGTTTAGGAACTCTTATCTGCCTGTGAGCTTCTTCTGAGGGTAGATTTTCTTTTTAGCAAGGGAGACATCTTATTCATCATGAACCCAGGCTTGAACTTCTAAACTTGGTATGGCTGGAAGCCATTCTTATGCATATAAAGAACACCATAGCTGAACTGAAGAGATGCTGAGATATTCTCTATATGTGCTGAATATTCAAGAGTGCTATCTTCCCCGTCTCTGGTTTTGTGGCAGAAGACGGTGTGAAGCAGAGAACCATTAAGTGGTATCATACACCCTGCCAATTAGTGTATTATTATAAAAAGGGGAGCAGTCAGTGCTGTCATGGATGCCAACAGAAAGGGCAATTTATGCACACGATGTGGGAATGCAAACAGGTACAATACTTCTGGAAGACAATACAAAATGTGTCAAACCAAATATTAGGAATCGATTGGATGACAACAAAACAAATGGCAGTCTTAGTACAAACAGAGGTAATGGGAAAATACAGAAAAATAAAGGAAGCAATAACTGAGTGCACACAAGCGGTGATAGAATTGGGATGGAAAGACAAATCAAAGTGGACAATAAATAAATGGTATCAGTATATAGTGGATCAAATGGAATTCAAAATTATGGATATAAAATTAAATTATTCAAAGGATAATAAAAACAGAATGTGAAAAGTTGAAGAAAGATGGAACTGGGTCAGGAATTGTATTATGAATAAGTCTAGAGATCAGGCCATAAGAAATAGGATACCAATGTTATATAGTATCTAAATTTATAAGGACTGACTCAAAAAGGATTAATATGTAAAAGAAAATAATCCTCGTGGTGGTGGGAACTGTAAATGTTGCATATGTGTATGTCCTAATATATATATATATATATATATATATATATATATATATATATATATATATTGTTTTTTAAAAGTAGAGAACCATTGATTTTGCTCATTTTTGTGGAAAAGAGTGTTTTCTCTTTGTCTTCATGCACATTAGTCTCTACAAGCAGACAGTGAAAAATGCTGGACAGAAAGGCAGGGTTCTTTGCAGATTCGTTCAACACATGTAAAGAACACCTGACTATGGTTAAACTTTAAAAGAAAACAAGGGGAACAAAGAACTTAAGTGAAATAAATACGAAGAGGGAGGTCTTTCAGACTAACAAGAGGTTGTGGACAGAAGAAAAACCGTGAAGGGAGATGACAGGCGCCTGACAAGAAGGCTCTGGTTCTGATTCCCTTACACTCCACTTCTAAGAACATTTACTTAAACGTTATTCCTATTTAAACAATAGTGCCTATTTCTATCTATATGTGTTAAGGCTGTGCAGTAAGATTTTCCTGATTTTGGGGAGGGGGTGTAGCTAAAACTGCTGGTTTTAAAGAATGAGTACTCCATGTAGGTTCACCTTCTAGAGAAAACAATTTGTCATAACTCTGTTAACTTGAACAAATTATAAGCCAAAACGATGTAATGAAGAAATGCTAGTACTGTGGTTTGTAGAGCTGCCCCATAAGTCACATGATCTAGCAAACTGTCCAATAAAACCAAATAATAGTCATCATTTTTCTAACATTTCTTTTGTTAGATGTAGTACATAATTATTTACACATTATTTCCATTAGAAGTACTTTTGAGAGTGACTGAACAATTTCCTTCAAATGTGCTGTTTATCTGAAGGGACACATGAAAATATAGTAAATATCCCAAAATGTATATTCTGTACATGATAAGGATAGCTTAACTGTGATGTACCTTATAAAAACATGCTTAAATTGAAACACTTATTTCATACATAAATCAGTGAAGTGACTTGACACAATAAACTTGGAGAAATTACAAAATAAGGAAAGGCTTGAATAGAAGAACTGCATTTTTTAAATTTTTTAAATATTTCACAGGGGTTTCCCTCAGATGAATATACAATTTCAACCCAGTCTACAATCCAGAGTCTACAGGCCCAGTGAGGCTTAGGTCCTTGGACAGGCATTGCTTCCACAGTTTCCCAACAGGTTGGATAGTCAACTGTGAGATAGCAAATTGCAGTTTCTAACACTGAGTCTATTTTCCAAAGAGGAGCAAAGCAAGTCTTGATGAGTTTCTGCAACTCTTTGAGGAACCCACAATAGTTCTCTGGATTATAGACCGTAAAGTTCTCAAAGACGATTGGATAATATGCTCCCAAACAACACCACAAGTTTTTTTATATGGTCACGCATACGCTGAACCACCAAATCTTACCATGACTGTGCAGCACTGCATTTTGAATATATCCCCTACCCCAGTATTCTTAATGTTATAAAAAATGTTTGCTGACGAGAGACAGGCTATGTTAGGACAGCTTATTAATAATTAGAAAGAGGAAGGTACTGTTTTAAAACCCTTTGACTCAATATAGGGTTGGATCAAAAATTCAGCCTACTGGCAGAATATCACTCCTAGAATGTTTCCACTGCAGCCAGAAATGGAGGTGATGTTTGCTCTTTTGCCCTTTCTGCTACAATCCCATGTCAAACTGCATTGGAAGGTTTTGGATGTTCCTCTAGAACAGGAATGGGCAAACTTTGGCCCTCCAGGTGTTTTGGACTTCAACTCCCACAATTTCTCACAGCCTATCGGTTGCTGAAGTCCAAAACACGTGGAGGGCCAAGGTTTGCCCATGTCTGCTCTAGAACAATGTGGGAAATAGCAGAGAAAGAGGCAAAGAAAGAATCACAGAACATTGCAGAAGCTTCCACAGGATAGTATTCCTTTCCCTCTGTTGGAATAACTCTTTAGTTCATGGAACCCCAGTGATAGTGTTTTGGGGAGAAAAATAGTATTCATGCACAAGCTCTTGATTTTCACTCAAATCACATTTAATTTTAATGTGTTAGGAATAAGAATCCTGCGGCTTAATTTTTAAAAAGCTGCTACTCAAATAGCAATGGGAGGATTTGTTCAAATTTTCACGGGGAAAAGTAGAACCATTGTCACACTTAGAGTGCCCTGTAACCAGATAGCTACTCAATGTTCAAACCAGGCCTGATTGCAAGAACATGTATCATATAAATAGAATATTCTAAACTAAGTTTATTCTGTAAGGAAAAAAACATGAATTCAGTATTATGAAGCAGGTTTATTGGCATTGATACGGAGTCTTTTACATCAAAAGTAAATGACAAATCCATGTATTTTGCTTAACATTATAATGTCATACTACATTTTAAAAGTGATCATTTTAAAAAAATATCAGTGCATTGTATTAAAAGTAGATTTACACATATAATGTATGCAATGGTATAAAATATGCACACCAATTATGTATATCATTGTTTTCCATTTGGGATGTTATATTATTATCGTGCTGTAAATTGTGCTATCAAACATTAATTTTTGTGCACTGGAGTCCTTTGGAGAAATCTCCAGGAAATATCTTCTGGGCCATTCTGTGCCATTATTGTTTCTTATAGCAAGATCACAGAGCAATATGGCATGCAAATATGTAACATTATTTGTTTAAATTGTTAAAAAGTTATGAAATGTTTGCATTAGAAATAAGTGTGTAGAAAAGCAATAGAATTGTTGATGATCAGATTTAAATTCTGCTACTAAAAATCATGAATATGGCAGGAATTTATTCTTCCAAAATTTAAAATTATTTCTTAATTAAAAATGAGACTGAAAGATATAAATCTGAACCCATCAAGTCCTTAAATGTCCATATGGTTATTTAGTAAATTAATAACTTAAATATGAATTGCAAATTACTGTAACTAAACTATTTAAAATGAGAACAAAAAAAGTTAAAGAATGCTCCTTGCAACAAAACAAGAAAACCAGCCGAAATTTGATAAAAAGCCACTAAAATGCAATTAAGCCTGGCAGAAACTGAGTAGTCTAGTTAGAAATTATTTTAAATAATTAGAAACTTGAAAACAAACAAACAAAAAGGCATTATGTATGATGAGTGACAAATCTAAAAGCAAGAGACCTTGTGCAATGAATTAGGCAGGTGATGAGCATATATAGTTCTAATGCACCAAAAGCAGAAGAAAAAAACAAAATATTAATGTTGCTGTGACTGTGTAAATCTTTCAGTAACATAAACATGTCATTATCCTGAACAATAAGGAGCCCTCTTCCATTTAAGACCAAAAATCCATTATCTGTTTCATAAGTTTTCATGGACCAAATCTCAACCAAAGAATCAAAGGAAAGCAGAATATTGCTTGATTATTTCAACAAAATGAGACCAATAGCTCATGCTATCTGTAGATGTATTACAGTGCTATGCAGAGCAGAAGAGAATACAGAATCCAATTGAAATGAATACAGATGAAATCAGCATGAAGTACACATGGGAACAGACTTGGCATTGTAATTAGTCACACATTGTTAAGGTGGCTTGTTGTTTCTTGCGTTTGGGGACAGGATTTCCTATGAGCTTGAAAGTTGGGGATACAGTAAGAAAATCTCCCATGGTGTCCTTCCTAGATGTTCAAGCCCAGTGGTTCTCAACCTGTGGGTCCCCAGATGTTTTGGCCTTTGACTCCCAGAAATACTAACAGCTGGTAAACTGGCTGGGATTTCTGGTAGTTCTAGGCCAAAACACCTGGGGACCCACAGGTTGAGAACCAGTGTTCTAGTCCAACACATAGGGGGGGAGGGTACCAGGTTAAAGAAGTTAAGAACCAACTTGAAGCCACTGAACTGAAATGCATTAGTAGATCTGTCACTTAACAAAGTTTTTGGAGTGATTAGTTTACTATGGGGGGAAATTATAACTCTATTTATCTACTATTATATAACCAGGAGGGGTTCAAAACCACTCCCACAATTATCTGAATTTGTAATTGCATGTCCTAGGAATAACACTGTAATTCATCTACTATTATTAATTGCATCATTTTACCTGCAGACCTCACTTTATTAAAAAGGAGAAAGCCCTTCAATGTTCATAATACACAAACCTAGTTTGCTAAGACAAAACTGGACAATATGCGAAATGCATGGGTGCATTTAACATGGATTCTTGTTACTTAAACAGCGCAGTGTGTTGGGGTATGATCAAAATTGAGAATGGGGAATTGGGAAAACCCCAGTGAGAGTACGGTATCTTGCATGCAATGCCTCAAGACCATTTCTAAAGGCTCTAAAACTTTTCCAAATTTGGGTAGTGTGAAAACAGCACTAGGTAATAGATAATCAGTACTGGAGGAGAAACTAGTCTCTGGACCCAATGCAGTTGTCAGCACTTCCTTCAACCTGTTTGCCTATGCCTTAGTCTCAAAATTACCTCCCCTGCTTAGCTGGTATATCCTATGAGAAAATGGAGGTTCTGACCAACAGCAAATCCCAGCTTTGAGGACTGAGTAGGGTGTGGAGAAGAAGTGCTAGGGACCTCCTGCTGGTAGTATTAGAAGGACCTTTTGCCTTGACTCTTAGCTGACCACTTTATACATCTCATCACCTAAGCTCTAGTTTCCAAAAACATATACCACATCAAATTTGACAGTTGTTGTCATTTTCATTTGAAGTATCCTGGAATTTTTCAAAATCCTAACACATTGATTATGGTCTAGTAAACTCCTATGGCTGTTTTCAGAAAAAACAGTTTTGTTTTCAGAATATCTATTATTCAGATTTAAAATCCACAGCAAATAGAATGTCCATCCTGTTTTAAGCTCTCTTTTGATTTGGGAGACATTTCAGAAAAGGAAGAATTTATAGGATCATTTCGAAAATACCCAATGATTTGTTAAATTTCAGATTTCAAAATGACTTGCATTCACATTGGATTAAGACCAAATATTTATGTGTGCCTTTGAGTCGCCTGTTGACTTATGGTGAACCCATGAGTTTCACAGGGTTTTCTTAGGCAAGATATACTCAGAAGTGGCTTGTCCAGTTCTTCCCTCAGAAATATAGCTACAGCACCTGCTATTTGTTAGCAGCTTCCCATCCAAGTACTAATGAGGGCCAACACTGCTTAGCTTCTGAGTTCAAGTGGAATCTAGGGTATTTACTTGGAAACATGCCAACCAAGTAAATATGAACTATCTGATTTGAACTGGGTTATCTGAGTCCACACTCAGATAATGTGGGATTTTCTATTTTGATATTCTGGGATAAAGGGCTGTGTGGAAGGGCCCTGGGACCAAATAGTGGAAGAAAATCCCATCAAATTAAGGTTGTTTCCAAATAAATATGCTGAAGACAACAGCCTGGAACTTGATCCTAAACAGAGTGGTTGTTACCCATAACAATGCTAAATACATAATGGAAACATGCAGAAAGGATTTCCTCAGTGCTTTTGTAACAATTACTATTGCTAAAAACAATGCAACTCTCTCTTTTGGTATTGGAGGTTGCTGTAGTAGAAATGCTAAATGGCATTCTGCATACACACATCACTTCTTTGGATTAGACCATTCCTTGGAAGTAGATCCTACTATAACCAACAAGGGCTATTTTGGTTAATGACTCTAAATGAATCCACATAAGTTTATATTTAATTCTTGATTTAATATTTGAAATAATTTATTATTAACTAACCAAATGCCAAGTTTTGCTATAATATTCTAGGTCTTTTAAACATAAATTATAAAGAGATATTAGCAGCTGTATAAACATTATTAATTTTTCTTCTATTTTAATAGGTTATTTATAAAATTTGTCAAATGCTCTTTTAAAAATCTTTTACTCAACAGAACTATAGATACTAAATTTGCTAAACATACAATCTATATCTTTATCTATATCCATATCTACTCTTAGTGCACTACCTATCATCATTTATGGGGCTCATTCTTTTATGATGCAATCAGGAAAAAAAAAAACAGCAAGCGTATTCTGCTTTCACAGCACAGAGTCAAAGGGGGAGGGGGGAAGCAGCCAATACCAGCCCAATATTCACATCTGAATGCATTCCGAGAAATTAATGTTTTCCTTCCTATTCTTCTCTTTCTTCAACATACTTCTGCACCTGCTACATTACGCTGTGACTACTTATAGCCATTTTCCGTTATTCGCACTCCAAAAATTGCTATTATTACAGTATAATCAAATAATACAAGGAGTCATGCACTCTTAAATAAAAGTGCTTACTAGAGAATCTACAGATCATATTTTTAGTCTAGTCCTTTTTAAGGCATGTCTAACATACTGAGCCTATGTCTGCAGAAAGTGGCCGGGCAAATGAACGTGATGAGGCAGACTGTCTTTCTCCTTGGCCAAGAGTTCTCTTGCGTTCCCGAACTAATGCCTTTTGATGTCGCTTCATTCTCTCTAGCTGTTCCTCGGCACTCATCTTGCCTCTTTGGTGGTCTCCAGAGTATAAACGCTCCAAGGCACTCTTTGGTCTTTCCTGTTAAATGTGACACACAACACAAACAATTAATACTTTTGAAAATGTATTCTAGCACCATGATTTTACAGCAGTTTGGCCTCTGAGTGACCTCTAGAAGGTCAGAGAGGATGTCAGAAATGCAGTCTAACACTGCCTGGACACTCCCTGCCTCTTCTGATCACCAACTGCCCCTGGAGACTAGGACTCAGAGCAATGGGTTCAAATTACAAGAAAGGAGATTCCACCTGTACATCATAAAGAACTTCCTGACCACAAGAGCTTTTCAACAGTGGAACTCACTGCCTTGGAGTGTAGGCTTTTTTTTTTTGGTGGCTTTTAAACAGAGACTGGATGGCCATCTGTCGGGGGTTCTTTGATTATGCTTTTCCTGCAGAGTGTTGCACTGGATGGCCCATGGAGTCTCTTCCAACTCTATGATTCTATGAACTGTCTATGGATACACGTATCAGTAGCTGACTGGTAGGTTGCACATGGTGGCCACTGCACAAAGGAGGTACTACATATCTCCCTCCACAACAACCTTAAAAAGAAGTGCACAGTCATAAATGGAATTTAATCCTACTGATGTCACCAAAAGAAGTCTTACCCAGAATTTCACACATGCTGTTGTTACATTCTCACAAATTGATTATGGCAACCCTATTACAGGGTTTTCTTGTCAATATTTAGGCAAAGGAAGTTTTCCATTTCCTTTATCTATGGCTGGGAGATTGCAATAAGCAAAAGATCACATTGTGAGTTTCTGTGTCTGAGCAAAGATTCAAACTCTGGGCTCCTAGAGTGCAACCTGAACATTCAAATCAATACATCATGCCAGTTTTCAGGTTTCATCCTACAGTCAGTGTACTCCATACCTGTATTATATAAGTCCCTTAAAAAACTGAGGACCACCTTTCTGTTTCTTCTTTCAGTGCAAAATCGACTAGATAAACTCAAATTCCTTCATGTTTCTAAGACAACATTTTGCAACAATATTGGAAAAACAATATTGGATTAACATTTAATAATGAAATAATATAACTTGGAGAGGAGTGAGAGTCTTTAACCTCTCCTTTAACTTCAGACATCTTCTGGATTATTGGAATTGATAATATACAATTTTTACAACTAGAACCAGTATAAGCTGTAATTTGAAGTTGCACTTATAACCACATCCATGTTTGTTCCTGTACTTGTGATATATTCTGAGTTATCCATCTTGGTAAATTGTCTTAAATTTCTGTGTGGTATAAAATATTGAAGTAAAACTTATGTAAATTAATAAAGTTGTTCAGAAAGGTTGAGCAACCATGAACACATATGCAAAGTTACCTTGGAACCATCTCTTCGAAGTGTTGCATAAGATGAAACTGTGAATGACTGGTGTAATCTAGACGTTGAGCCGGACAATCCTTGCCAAAAGGGAAAAAGAATGACAGAATCAAGACTGTAATGGAGAAGCAACAGCTGCATTTCTAAGCCCAGAATTAGTTCTATCTAGAGTAGATTCATCAAAATGAACTGAACGTAAAAGAAAACAGAGAATTTTCATAGGAGATATATTGGATTTGGCTCTAGATTCTGGTGGCACAGTTTCCATTCCATTCAGGTACCACAGGAATCAGGATACAGGATTTTATTTTATTAGAATACCAATCATATGTTCCAATGATTAAAATTCACTATGATGTGAACCCAAAAAATGTGAAAGATTTCAGATTATTCTAGTTAGTTTTCTTTATTTGTTGCACTACAAACTCTTCAATCTTAAAGTCTATTAGGCTGTGTCCTATGCACCTAGATATATACATCTGATTTGCTTCTGAAGTGTGTACTGAAGATGTCATAGCAAACATCAAGAAATAGGAATCTGAAGTAAAACCCACACAAAGAAGAGTCAGGTGTTGAACAGATGTCATATTGGGAGGGCCAAAAGGTGCAGTTCATTACATCAGATTTTCCCTCCAGGTCAAACTGTTCTGAATTTCTGTGTGTTTTGTTTCCCCTGCATTGTGGTTCACCTGAAACACTACATGGTTTTATTCAATTCTTTACTGAATTGTACAGTGAACTTTGGTGAGGACCACCACACTTAACTATGGTTCTCTGAGGTTAATCTGATAGGAAAATGAATACAAGGTGTGCCAAAAGTCATGCCCAATTGAGAACTTATTATATTTTATTATCATAATTATTATTTGTTACAGATTGTTATACCATGGCTTATAAATTAACAAAAGGAAGAACTGAGATACCGTATTAAAGTCAATTGTTGAAGAGTAGGCCATAATGATTACAGAAAATGTTACTTAAGAATGTTCAAAGACTATGTGTCATGAGTACAAAAGTGTTTAAAACATGGCAGCCATCTTGAACATTGAGTTTAATGTACTGTATATACTAAATTGTCTATCAGGCATGACTTTTGGAACCCCTGTACAATGAAGGTTTATGCATTAAAGATGGGGTCGGACCAGGATGTTCCCACTCTTTTAATTAATATCTGGAGTCCCAGCGCAGTCACAGGTCAAATGAGAGGAAAAACAATCTGTCAGTAAGTTCTTGAAATCTTTAAGCTATACACCTTCGAAGCCGTAACATCCATACTCCTATGAGATATAGATAAGTCATCTCTTGACCTACCTCTGGTAGGTAACGTTTGGTATCTACCATCAATACCTAGCAATCCAAAGGAAGGTTGGCTCAGCTCACTGCCTATAGTTGCCAATTCAGGTTCGCTCACATATGAGCGGAGTTCTACCTATACAGATAAATACTTGATTAAATATAATTGCAAAGAAACATTTTTACAATTCTGTTGAGAGACAACTGTCTCCTAGCAGTGTGAATGTGTTAGATGATACCATAGATACAATAATATTTGACACAGTACAAAATATTTCAAAATCTGTGGCATAATGCTTAATAACAGAAACCAAAGTTGTAAAAACCAAAACAAGTTTTTTTAAAGGGCGGTTACATCAACTTATCACTCTCAGGAAATTCTAGAGATCAAGAATTTTTTTCATGCTTTTGTATCTCCCAGAAGGCTCTTCTCACTCTTACTGGTTCACTTCAGAAAGTCTCTGAAGATCCTGATAAGTGAACCAGAAGTTATATTTTGCTAAGCAGTGTTTTTAAACATTCATAACAGAGGTAAACAATTCATAGCTGTCTAATGTTACTGGACGGAAAATCCCATCAATCTACCTAGCATAGCCAATTGTGAGAGTTCCAGGGTGTTAAAAGTCCAGGAACAATATATTTTCCCCTTCCCTGATTTAGGAGAATGATCAATGGCAGTAATACGTCATCCATTGTCAATGGATGCTCTTCTATGGGTCACATTTTAGTGCTAAGAGGCAAAACAGGCAGAATTATTGTTCTTCTAATAACATTTATTTATTTCCCACCCTTTTGCCAGTCTGGGACTTAGGGAGGTTTGTATAATGTAAAACAATTAAGAATTTGCATTTTACAAAAGTTATAATTATAATTAAACTTTATGTAGAATTAAAAATGATTATAACAGTTATTTAAACCATGATTATGTAATTTAGAAAGTCAAAACACTAAACATTAGAATTCATTAAAAGATCATATACAAGCCTTAAAAACAGTATGGGACAGCATTAAAACCCCACCTCACACAGTTTTTTAAAAGCCTGGTGACATAAAAACATTTTGACCTGCTGATGGAAGGAGAGCAAGGATAGGGCCATCCTGGCCTCACTAGGGAGGTCCAAAGAGAAGTCCTTATCCCTTACTTCCTCCGAAAGTAATGGGAAAGAGAAAAAGGCCTCTTGGGTTAACTTAGTGCTCTAAAGGGATCATAAAGAGAGATACCCAGGCTGAAGCTGTATAAAGGCTTTGTAGCTCAAACTCAGCACTTTGGATGTTGCCCTGGAACAGACTCGTTATCAGTAGAGCTATTACAAAAAGGAGTTGTGTGCTGCCTATAGCCAAGCCCAGTTAATCTGTCTGAAGCACTTTGGCCCAACTGAGTTTTCTGAGCATTTTTCAAAGGCAGCCTCATGGGCATTACAGTAATTACAGTGGGATGTACCCAAGGCATGTATCAGTTCAGCCAGATCCACCTTCTCCAAAAATGGGTGCAAATGTGTTCCTGGTTACTGCCAAAACTTGGGCCTTCAGACTCAGCACTCAATCCAGGAATATTCCCAAAGTGGGAACCTGAGTTTTCAAACAGAGTGTAACTCAATCTAACACCGGTTGGATCCCTAATTTCAGATCTGTTTTTGACTGACCAGGAGAACCTCTGTCTTGCCTGGACAAATGTTGAATTTGTTCATTCTCATTCAGTCCATATAGCTGCCAGGCATCAGTTTAGCACAAGGACAGCTTCCTTGGAATTAGGTGGAAAAAAGTATTAAAACTTTGTGTTGTCAGAATGTCTTAAAACTCTAGAAATCTCTCAAAAACTATGTAACAGCAGTCCCCGAGTTACAAACATCCAACTTGCAAACAACTCATAGTTAAGAATAGGGGTGAGACAACAGGAAGTTAAATAAATCTTCCCCTAGGAAGGAAAATCCACTCCTGAAAGAGTTATCATGGGGAAAAGGTGTCTCCACTGAAGCTTGACTCCAATCCTTGTTTCCACAACAAGCCAAGTTTTTCAAAATCCAGTTATCACAGCGACAAAAGTGAGGTGAAACAGGGGCACAGACAGCCAAACAAACACCACAGAGCAATGGCAAAGGAGTCAAGCAGGAATCTCCCAGCACCACCTTCTAAAAAAGAGCAGGGCCACTATAGAACAGAACCTCCATGTTCTGTTGTATAGAGGCAACTCAGAAAGTACCATGGTTGATGTTATCAAACGTCACCAAGAGGTCCAGTAGGACCAACATGGACACACTTTCCTTGTCTAGTTTCTTGTTTAGGTTTTCCACCAAGATGATCAAAGCTGCTTGAGTTCCACATCCAGGCCTAAAACCAAAATGAAATTGATCTAGATAATCTGCCTCATCCAGGAGTCTCTGAAGTTGAAAAGTCAGAACATGTCCTAGTATATTGCCCAAAAGTGGAGTGCTGCCGTGATTGATGGGTGTTTGCGTGGGACCTGCAAGCTGCTGAGTCCTCGCCAGAGTGACAGAGACGGATTGGATCTCGCACCCATGTCTCAATAAATATTTCGGATTGGCCTATAGTTTTCCAGTATAGTAGGATCCAGGGAGGTTTTCTTCCTCAAAGAGGGCTTATCACAGCCTCTTTCAGGTGTTGACAGGGGTGAGTCCTCCTCTGGCCTGTTTAAAAACCCAGGAAGGGAAAAGCTGTAATGCACTGTAATCCAAGCGTCCTGTTCACATCTCCAGGCGGCAAAAACTGAAAATGTATGTACTGGACAAACATGGGCCAAAGTTACATCTAGTGCAACTGTATCAAGACTGGCCTCCAAATCATAGTGAATCTGAACAATTTTATCTACTAAGTGATGAACAAATTCTTCAGAATGGGCTATATGGTACATTTCAATATAACTGATATGGACTGATACACTGGTGAAGCTGTCCTTTTTGTCATGGCTGCTTGCTTACCCTGTAATCTCCATTCACATACTGTCCTAGTTCACGGTCTCGCTTCCTTTCATCTGACTGCCGTTTCAAGCCTCGCACTGATGTGTGCCTGATGACTGTGGCTTCCCTTGGAAGGGGGGGTACGGCGGGTGGGGGGTCATCTGGGTTATACAGTTGTGGAAGGGGAGGTCTTGGTGGCGCTTCATCTTCCTAAGGTTTAAAAAACAAGCTTATGGTTCCGAATTACCGTTGAATAACAGCACCATTTTAAAACATGCAAAATGATAAAAGAACTTCAATTATTTTAAAGATACACCAGAATTTAATTTTAACCACTTGTACTAGAAATACATTTTAACTCAATAGCCTTTAAGAGTGTTCCTTTCAGCTTTTTTGTTCCCTGTGTACATAATCACAATCAAAAAGCTTTACAGCTGTTGTAGACATCTAGAAGGTATTTCCATCTGGTATAAGATTTTATCATTTTGTTGTAATAAATAAACCCATTCTTAAACGCATTACACCATTAGGTACAAGATAGAATAGTTATGACACTTACAACCTTTGGCTTTAATTTTACTGGTGACTGAACTGGAGGCTCAACTCTTTTCACTTGTTGAGATGGAGAGAGTATTCTAGGCTGGGTATAAGGCTGAGGAAAAAGTCTGACTTCCAAAGATGGCTTAATAGGGCTAGATGGTGGGCTTTGCTGAGTAGAAAGTTTGTTGTCTGCTGACATGAGAGTAGATGATAATGAAGGCACTAGGGGCTTTGAAAATGAAGGCACTGTTTTTCTTTCTGCAAAGAAGAATACATATTACAAGCAAATGTAGATCAGAAATATGAGTCTTCACAAGACTACACTAAACCGCTCTTTTTTGAAATGAATAAAAAGAATGAGAAATATTGTTATATAGTTAAATGCCACAAAAACTATGAAAGAAGCAGGCCAAGAAATTCTGTGATGTACATATGATAGTCAAAAAGTACCATGTAGAAATAGCCCAAGAGACCAAATGTGTTTGCCAAACTGAACACTTTGGAACAATCCGTTGAATAAATTAAATTTTAAAATCCTGCATCAAGTTTTTCTTACCTGGATTCTTTATAGACTCTATGATGACTTTATAGTTGGATTTATTAGCACTTAGGCCAGCTGTAACATCTTCAATTCTCCACAAATCTTTTTGTATTTGAGCTTTCTCCTATTAATGAATAGAGACAAGGTGGTGAGGTGGGATAGAAAACTTAGAGAAAAGGTAGATAATCAATATTGGTTATGTATGTACAAAATAGTTAACACTATTAAATATTTTAAAAGATTAATCCTATGAAAAAGCATTGGTGCCACATTAAAAGGGGACAAAAGCTGTTTCTTCTGTCCTTAAAGTCTAGAAACAACTGGCACTGCTTCCCCACTGTTCTTTCCATGTACTTCTTTACTCCCCACTTACACTGTCCTGAAAGCATCCTGTAGTTCAGAGGAAAAAGATTACTGTATTTTTATGTAATGTGAAGTTTGTTCTGACAGCTGAAAAGATGAGAGAACTAAGCGATGTCTAGAGATTCTGGGTTACCTTAAAGAAAAACTATAGATAGCTTGTAGATTAAAAGATAATATTGTAAGTGCAGGCTTTTCTTTAAAAAAATCATTTAAAGGGGTTTTTTCTTTGTTTTTAAAGCAACACAATTCACAAAGCAGGCTACAACATATGCAATATTGTCATTATTAATATATGATACCAGTAGCAGAAGATAAAACCGGACATAAAAAGCAGTATATTAAAATCAACTAAATGGAAGAAATAAGTTGTTAAAAATTCTACTAAAGATCATTTCTGCAAGATAAAATGTCCTCCAAATATAGTTATACCACAAAGGCCCAGGTCCTGGTATGGGTATCAACGTAATAGCATTTATTGATGCATTAGACATCATGGTTGTGAAGGAAGGCTGCAAGGTTCAGATAACCTTATATCCATTGATGCAGATCTTTGTGTAACCGAGCACTGTTATGCTGTGGTGCTAGCTCTGGCTGTGGCTCTTCACAGACAGAAAGCCCCACATTTATCTGAAGATCCAGATCTAATGCCAAACACTACACTGACAAAGAGTCTAGGCAAATTATACAAAACCTAGTTGAGTCTCATCTTTAAAAAGAGCCTCACCTGAGATAAAAATAATCGGTTCATCTGTTCTTGTAAGGCTCGCTTCAGCTGGTCTACATCTTTTTCCAATTTCAGATACTCATTCCAGGCATTTTCCATTTCCTGTTAACAAAAGTAAAGCTGTAAAGTACTGTCTAATAGTTTAAGAGGAGTATAGACCACAACGATATTTACAATAAAATCGGGATTTTTTTTCTAATGGTACATATACTTAGAATAAATAAAAGGGAATGGGCATGGGAAATTGCCAGAAAAACACAAATACTTTTATTTTATGTAGCCAAAGTATATAAATAATTATTGACCAGGCTGCAAACAAAGCAAGAATGGCTTCAGCATAGCCTAAACCTACTTCAGTAAACCAGATTTAGAAATTGCAATGGAATGCTTGACTGCTAGGTCATTTGCTCAGAAGTTAATTCTTATGCAATCGATTTCTAGGAACACCAATTACTTACTGTAGATACTTTGGAAATTTCAGCCCGGATGTGTATGAGATCCTCTTGCAAAAGTTTCTGCTGGTATGAAATCTTTTCTGTGTGTTGTGGCTGATCTTTGTATTGTTCCATCTGCTTGTGCAACACTTCTAAGACGGATTCCAACTGATCCTAAACAAATGATTTTTTAAAAACAACATATTTACTAAAATTTAAAATAAATGTGAATGTATGTTTATAATAACACATTAGTCCGGGAAATGCGTATTTATATTTTACCTACTTTCTTGTAATTCTTTGTTAAAACACTCCATATATTCATGTATAAGTCCAGAAATTTTAGTCAAGAAAATCAACCCCCAAAACCTGTTCCATTTATCCATGGATCAATGTGAGCACTGTACCTAAACTTTTATCAGAAAGGAACTTTCCCTTTCCCTGGATAAAATGGGAAAAGTTGAAAGCTCAGTCCAATCATGGGAGAACCTAAATGCCCCAACCGCCATTATTCTCTCCACCACAGTGCTCTTTCTGGCCTTTTTGAATACTTGGCTGGGAAAAAGGCAGTGGCAGCTGGGACATCTGATGCTTTTCCCTCTCCATAGAATAAACCTCAATTTATCCATGAATAGTATCAAAATTCATAATTTTGATCTTACATGAGTCTACACTGCCATATAATCCACTCCAAAGCAAATAATATGGACTTTATATAGCAGTGTGTATGGGGCCTTGGACTCAAAAGTGCTACACAATCCTTTTGCATAGTGATCCAGACTAACATAGCTATGTTTTTTAATTATATCACATTGGTTATATCAGACATGATTGCAAAATGCTCTTTAAATGCCCTGGGAAACATTCAAAAGAAACAATTAGTCCAGAATGCAGTAGACTCTGTTTTGAAAAAACTAAATTAGTCAAAAATTATTTTTGTGTACAAGTCAAGTAGTGGGGTTGAGTCATGACATCCTGAATGGTTTAGGATCAGCATCTCTGAAAGACTGTCTTTCTGGTATGATTCCCACCTATGAGAATTTTTTTTGCGGGATCTCAATAGTATAACAACTGTTTTTCACTTTTCAACCACTTTCGCTTTTCGACAATGTTATGGGAACAGCGTACTAAAGCAAATTCAACAATTTTATTTTTCACTTCTTTTTAATTTCAAATTCAACCTACGGATGTTACTAGCCAAACCTCAGTTTTTGAGTCCTTTTGCTCCAATAAATTATTGGTGATGTTATAAACACTTCAGTTTTGATTTAGCCCACTACTGTTCTCATTTGGATAGATATATTTCAGAAAGCATATAGAGGCCTATTAAATTTGGGATTCATTCATTCTTATCCTGTTTCCAAGTGCTCTTTAGCACTTTGTAAACCAGCTGGATTGAGAATAAAAACACTGTGGCACATGTTAAATATTTGCTAAATTATTGTATTTAATAATCGGTATACTCACAATAAGCACAATAACTGGACATGCTCTTCGAAATAAACAACTACACTATATCAAATGATTTTCATATTTCAATTGTATCACCTAGTACACATAAAAGGAAATGGTGAAAACTGTAGTATTTACTTTGTTTTCCTTCAGAGCTCTTATTTTGTCTTCTAGATCTTGCAGAATCCTGTCTTGTTCACAGAAAACACTTAGTTTCACCTACAAAAAATATACATTTTTAGAAGTTTAGATCAATTAAAGGACAGAATTATGTTGGATCAAAAATGTAACTGAATTCTTTGCAAAGTTGTGTTCAATACTTACATCAACATCACTTTCTCCAATTTTGATAGGTTTTGTATTGCGTTCCTTTATGGTATCACGCCCTGTCATCTTTAAAAAAGTGAGATTTAAAAGCAAAATTAGAAGCCATAACTGGGGAAAAACATGTGAAACTCAGGAAACCCTTTAATTAATTATTTATTCCACATTTATAGACTATTTTACTAATGCAATTATTACAATTATATTACTTAAAAATTCCTGTATTTTAAAACAAAACATCTTACATTACTTCACAAAACCTATTTCAACAGTATTATAAACAAATGATGCAGTCTAGCATATACTGCTGCCCACTCTCCATGTATACAATGGCTATTACATAGGGATCCTAAACAAAACTTTTGAATATCACCACAAACAAGAACAATACATAATAATAATAATAATAATAATAATAATAACAACAATAATAATAAACTTTATTTGTAACCCGCCCTATCTCCCTGAGTGGACTTACATTGGATTCTATCTTTTCATCAAGGAAAGTATTGGATATGGATCCTGAATATTATATCTAAAATCTGAAAAAATTGTGCTCCATTTTTGGGAAGGTTTTTCTTATTCTTTAAAAATGTATAATTCTAAAAACATTTTCATATTTCCAAATATAATCAGCTCTTTGCTGATGATTCTTGCTCATACTATAACCACATATGTGAGTATACATTTACATTTTTACACATTGCATGCATAAGTGATGTTATCATTAAAGTGAAGAGTAATTCCATTTTTTGGAGGAAAGAAATATTCCTTTTTCTAAAGTAAGAAACACTAGACAAATGTTTTACCATACCTCAATTAAAATGTGGTAAAATCTCTGAACACTGCATGAAATCACCTTCAAGAAATGCCACAAGGGACTATACAAAAGATTCTTAAAATGTTACTCAATTTTGGAGGCAACAGTCAAGACACGAGACTATAATGTAGACCCTAAGATCATGATGAAGAGGATGGGAAATAACCAGTCAAATTATCCCTCATCCATGAAGTCAATCGTAACCCCAAACAACTGCTATCTTTCAACTGCAAATACATTTCTACATAGTGGATCTTATAATGGCAACCCTCCATATTGGATTTTTGCAAGCTAATGAGATAATGGATATGAAGCGCTTTGAACATACAGAAAGCGCTATAGATATGTATGCTAGGATTAGTACTATTATTAGTTTTATTTACCATAAATTTGTCCCAGCTCCATCTTCAAGTTCCCATCATTGTAAACTGATAAAATGGAAGCCAGATCATCAAATACAGGACGGCTTGTTGCCTTTTAGCAATATCTAGATTTAGATGGGTTTTTCCACTATAGTAAAACAACTTTTTATATAAAAATTACCCTGAAATATTTTGTGACTGTAACAAAAATTTAAGATAAACATGTAATTGAAACATACTACACATTGACATGAACAGACTAAAAATAATTGGGGAAACAACAAATGTGCAAGCAAAGGACCTTTCTGAAATCTAAAAAATATATAACAATGTGAAGAAGAATATATGCAATTATATTGTGTACAGTACATGTAAAATTAACTGATTGTCAAAGCAGCAAAATCAAAATATAATCAGCATGCTTCATAATTTCATAAATATAGAAATGGAATCACCATCACTAGTTTCCAACAATGAGAAAATGAAACCAAGCACTATCAGGCCAGCCAATAATATTGCACAAAGCCTCCAAAAAACAGTTGCAGAAAGCTGTGGTGCTGTACACACATGAAACACCTGTGGATGCTTAGCTGTTTAAACACTGATTGCCATTTGAGAAAGCAATGGGATGGCTACATTTTCCGGTACAGGCACTCTTACATTTATACTGGACAGTAACCCTTGTGCTGAGCTCTTTAGCACTTTGTAAACCATGTTGATCAGAGGTCCATTATTTTTTATCTGTTTCAAACAAAATTTTAATACATATCTTGTTACAGAGGAAAGTTGACAACAAAAGCCAGTGAACAAACTAATATATATATATATATATATATGAATATAATTATTTTCTGTGCTGAGTACTGCATATATATGCCTAACACAAATTTCAAGAAAATGAAGGAGGGCATAATACTTCTTTCCTTTTTATATGCTCTTCTCTATGACCTGATAATCACCTTAGAAATCATAACTTAAGTTTTTTGTTAACTGCTAACCTCTGATGCTTGATTGTACTGCTGTACAGGGCTTCCATATTTTAAAAATGTCATTCTGTTAAAAACATACTTAATTCTCTTAGGCTGCTTTTTTACATGTCTGATCACATATGTTTTAATACAAAATGCCATTTCATATGATAGTTTGCTCTGACTGCTAATTTTTTTAAAAAAAAACCATTCTGCGAATTGCACATTCTGCCATCCTGCTCCAATGAACAAAAAAGAAACACATGCATACAACTGGACCTTGGTATCCCCAGGTTCAACCATCCACAGTTTGAAAGTATTTGAAAACAAATCTAAAAAGCAAAACTTGTTTTTGTCATTTTATATAAGGGATGCTGTTTTACTTTGTATACACACACCCTAACAAATAAATACTGTACTGAAGATGCCTGAATCTTCCCACACTCAAAAGGGTGGAAAATGCAAGTACGTCTGATAGAATAGATGGTCATCAACAACCTGGATCTCTTCAGTCTGAATTTCAAAATGAGGGAGGCTGTGGGACTCTGAAAAGGCTCATCTGAAAATGAACTTTTCAATAGTGTTTTGCCCATGGAAAGACTCATGGAAGAATTAATAGCAGTACATGTAAAATGAAAGATATACATAGAGAGGTACACTCTCCATACCTAAGGTCCTTTCAGCAGTATAGATCATGTCCTCCAAATCCAAAGGAGCTCTTGGAAACTACTCACAGGTAAATTACTTCTTGTGTATTTTTCTCGGCACCTTTCGTCATTCTCATTCTAAGCACATAAATATTGTTCAAATAGGAGAATATGAGCAAACCTCAGCTGGAGAGACCCCACGGTAGAGTGAATATGCTTTAGTTTAGCAATTGGCTATATTCTCTGCAGCATATAATCTGAACCATTCTTCAAAATGTCATAACAAAAGAAATAGCAACTGAGGTGCTTTAAACTCAATAGACACAGAATCAGTAATACTGCAGCTGTTTCTAAAAGCAATATTCTTCCAACAATGCTATGTATTAAACATATGATGAAGCTGAACATTAGGTTTACTACATTACAAGAGTGTGTTACAAGCAGTGATGCTGTCTAAACAAATAAAAGGATTTCTCTGTGTTAAAGGCTGATGACAGAAATTTCTCTATATTTACAATGTTTTTATTCTAACGCCTAAATTCGAAGTACTGAAGCACTGAGCTCTTCCCACTCCTAAAAGCTTCAACAACTGGAAAAAGGTTCCAGAGATAATCCTGGCATTCTGGAACAGGGATTTTTTGGGTGTGGGAAAGATGTAGACCAGAAAGAAGATGTCCAACTTCTGATTTCAGTTTCATCACTAGATGTAACTCACTGGGTCACAACCTAAAGCTACACTCCTATCTACCCCAAAGACTTCAGTATGCCCTGAACATTTCAAGTACTGTTGGTCTACAATCTGCATCATTCCAGATTACTAACTCTGGAGACTGAGTTGATAGAAGTTCAAGTCCAACAATATCTGGAAAGTTCATTTCCTAATCCTTGATGTATATCAAACTGCATTGTAAAAGAAGAACTCTTGTGAGTGAGATCATCCACCCTATAATTCAGAAGACGTTTTACTTTTCTCAGTTTTTACAAACTTTACTTCTTCAGACATGGTTTTGCTGCATATAGCTATTTGCAAATGAGGATGTTACTATCTATCTAATTTATTATAGGTAACTGGGAATGCTGAATCTCCCGCTTCCCCAAGCACCTAATGTTGGGCAATTCACTAAATTAAATGGAAACTGACAAGCAGTACTACAACCAACTTTTCTCCATAGACAATTTTTCCATAGATAAATTTTGTTTGTGACCCACCATATTAACATTATGAAGTGATACAGTTTCTATTCAATCTCATACAATTTAAATATATATAACCAGGACTAAGGGGCTATCTGTATTTTGAAAACACCGAGCTTTGTTTCTAATTTTCATCTAATCCAATAGTGCTGTGGTTCCCAAACTGTGGTCCTTGGACCACCAGTGGTCCGCAAGAACTAAAATATGGTTTGCAGCATCACCATTACTACACCATTGCAACAAGAGTGACTGGTCTTACACAACCCTCTTATAGTGCCTAGGCCTATTAAATATGGTTTATTCATTATTGCTGTGTTATTGCTTGAGTTCTGGCTTCACTGTTTGAAACTGGAGAACAAAACCTGAAACTGGAGAACAGGTTTTGTACATGCGTGCTAAACTGGGCAGAAATAAAATCAAAGCAGAGTACCATTCCAGAGTAATTCTAGCAAACACACTCACACACCAAACATACCCTTGGGAGACCTTTCTTCTCTATTTCTCTGAGAGCCCTCCATGTGATTCAGGTGGGCCCACACTTCCTCACCACCCCATCCCACTTTCATTCCACTCAATTCCACAGAGTGTGGGGCCCGTCTGAATTCTCCCACTTTTGGGACCTGTTTGAAGAAGATGAATCACTTCCTCTTTCTTGGCCTCTCATTTTCCCCCTGTTTATGCCAGGATTAACCCCAGCACCTTGCCATTGGATTCACTCCCAACTGGGGACATAAGGAGGGGGAGGTATCTTTCATTGTCAAATTTGTGGCAGTTATAGAATCATAGAATTATGTCCTGGGACTTGCTGTTGATTTAAAAGACTGAGGCGGAGGTATGCCCTAGCACTCATGAATACTTCATCTTTCCATGACTTTGGAATTGGTCCTGCTATTCTCTAGATGTAAATGATCTTGAAAATGAAGAGTCTGAGAGCAAGGAATCTTCAAAAGGGGGTGAGAAAATGAAAGTAACAAGTGAATTGGGGGTAAGGAAGGGAGGTGGGAAAGGACCACCTTGCCCACCTGCATGGGGGGGGGGGGAAGAGGAGGGGTTGCCTATGAGGTTCCAGAAGGGAAAAGCCTGCAGTAGATAAACAAGAGGAGTGCTTCTTGGAGATAATATTTTAGAAGTTAATTTTACAGAAATTATTGACATTTTTCTTTGGACAAAATCTAGAAAATATACCTTAAGATAATTTTTGATATTATTGTAAGTTTTTATTATGTAAATTCTTATACTGGTAGTTTTTAAAATAAATATAAATATAAATGTTACTTTTGTGTCATCATTTATATATATTTTAATTTTAAATTTACATTTTATTAGTAATCTTTATTCAATGTTTGTAATATTTTATTTCTTCAATTCTGGTTACATTTTCTTTACATTTTCTTTTTAATTTTTTTTCATCTAAATTGATTTATTTTATCCCAATCCCATAGAGCACCATGCTCCACTTAACCTTAGTGGTAGGTAAGGGGGTCTGTCAAAAATCCAGGCCTGGGTACGTGCTTCAGGATATGGGGGGAAAAACTGACGGGGTGACCAGAGGAATAGGAAGATCAGTGGGGAATGCCCTTAACTTCAGGTAGAGGTTTGTGATGGGATGATAGGTAATGGGAGTTCAGTATAGAAGGAAAGAGCTTAAAACCTGGATGCTGCTTTAATGGGAAAGTGGGGGAAGGATCATTGAAGGAAATGGTTTAAAAGCTGGATGTTATTTTGATGGGAAGGTATGAAAAGAGCAAGGGAGGAAGAAGTTTAAAATCTTGATGAGGCTCCAATGGGAAGGTGGGGAAGGGATTGGCATTGTCAGTTTTGGAGAGACAGGGAAGCAGAAAGATTGGGATAAGGGAATGGATTACATGGTACTATCTACTTGTGAATAATTGGATGTGCAACAATGTAACCTGTGAGTGTGGAGGGCCAGCTGTATACATTTTAGGGACAAAAATTACTGTACTACTGCAACATTTTGTAAATTGTTCTTGTCATAACAACACCATTGCATTTTTATATGAGGATACTGGAGTGGATTTTTTTTAAAAAAAACCTTTTAAATTCTGTGCAAGATTTACTGAAAAAGGCAGAAAGAAAGCAACCCCCTCCCCCAATTCAGTTTGCAATATTCCAGAAATACAGCTATAGTCTAATAATGATGTCCATTTAAATGGAAAATAAATTTTCAATACCGCTGTGATAAATCTATATAGTACAATGAGAGTCCTGGCCAACATATTTTAAGGTATCACATCTCTTCTGATCTTGAAATCAAAGATCAAAGATGCAGGTTCGCAGCTTGGGAGTGATCCTGGATTCATCGCTGAGCCTGGAACCCCAGGTTTCGGTGGTGACCAGGGGAGCATTTGCATAGTTTATTTATTATTTATTTATTTTATACACTTGTATACCGCTAATATCTCAGCCTAAGTCGGCGACTCATTGCGGTTTACAACCATTAAAAACAATATACAATTTAAAACAACAACACATAGACAATACAAATTATTGGGCCACCAATAATAATACCATGCATCTCGTCAATAAAATCACAATCCAGAATTCGTCATCCATAATTAACCAGTCCTTAGTCAGCAAAATTCGGTGGTGACAGACTAACCGAATGCTTGTTTAAATAACCATGTTTTTAGTGTCTTCCGAAAGGCCATCAGCGAAGAGGCTGATCGTATCTCTATAGGGAGGGTGTTCCAAAGCCGAGGGGCCACCACAGAAAAGGCCCTGTCTCTCGTTCCCACCAGCCGCGCTTGGGAAGCCGGTGGGATAGAGAGCAGGGACTCTCCAGAAGATCTTAGGGTCCTGGTGGGCTGATAGGCTGAGATACGTTCGGATAGATAAGTTGGGCCAGAACCGTTTAGGGCTTTAAAGGCCAAAACCAGCACTTTGAATTGAGCCCGGTAGCATATCGGCAGCCAGTGGAGCTGGTGCAGCAAAGGAGTTGTGTGCTCCCTGCGCCCCGCTCCTGTTAGTACCATGGCTGCCGCCCGTTGGACTAGTTGGAGCTTCCGGGATGTCTTCAAAGGCAACCCCACGTAGAGAGCGTTGCAGTAATCAAGGCGGGATGTAACCAGAGCGTGGACTACCGTGGCTAAGTCAGACTTCCCAAGGTACGGTCGCAGTTGGCGCACAAGTTTTAATTGTGCGAATGCTCCCCTGGTCACCGCCGAAACCTGGGGTTCCAGGCTCAGCGATGAGTCCAGGATCACACCCAAACTGCGAACCTGCGTCTTCAGGGGGAGTGCGACCCCATCCAACACAGGCTGTAATCCCATACCCTGTTCGGCCTTACGACTAACCAGGAGTACCTCTGTCTTGTCTGGATTCAATTTCAATTTTTCGCCCCCATCCAGACCGTCACAGCGGCCAAGCACCGGTTCAGGACCTGGACAGCCTCCTTAGTAGCAGGGGGGAAGGAGTGACAGAGTTGGACATCATCTGCGTACAGATGACATCGCACTCCGAAACTCCGGATGATCTCGCCCAGCGGCTTCATGTAGATGTTAAACAACATGGGAGACAGTATTGAACCCTGAGGAACCCCACAAGACAAAGGTTGTGGGGTTGAACAGGAGTCTCCCAGTAACACCTTCTGAGACCGACCCTCGAGGAATGAGTGGAGCCACTGCAGAACAGTACCTCCTAAACCCATCCCCGCGAGGCGTCCCAGAAGGATACCGTGGTCGACGGTATCGAAGGCCGCTGAGAGGTCGAGCAGCACCAACAGGGACACACTCCCCCTGTCGAGCTCCCGACGCAGATCATCCACTAAGGTGACCAAGGCTGTCTCAGTACCATGCCCCGGCCTAAAGCCAGACTGTGCCGGATCCAGATAATCCGTGTCTACCAAGAATGCCTGGAGTAGTTAAAGCTTGTGTGCCAGCTGCGCCTGTACCTTGGGAAGTCTGATTTGGCCACGGTGGTCCACGCTCTTGTTACATCCCGTATAGACTACTGCAATGCACTCTACGTGGGGTTGCCTTTGAAAACTGCTCGGAAGCTTCAAATGGTCCAGCGTGCGGCAGCTAGGTTACTAACGAGAGCTGCGCTCAGGGAGCATACAACTCTGCTGCTGCGCCAGCTCCACTGTCTGCCAGTTTGCTACTGGGCACAATTCAAAGTGCTGGCTTTAGTCTATAAAGCCGTAAACGTTTCCGGTCCAGCTTATCTATCCAAACGTATCTCTCCCTATGAACCTTCCAAGAACTTGAGATCGTCTGAGGAGGCCCTGCTCTCGATTCCGCCTGCTTCACAGGCACGTCTGGTGGGGATGAGAGACAGGGCCTTCCCTGTGGTGGCCCCTCGGCTGTGGAACTCCCTGTCTAGGGATATTAGATCGGCCCCCTCCCTCCTGACCTTTCAAAAAAGAGTGAAAACCTGGCTCTTTGAGCAAGCGTTTGGAACTTCAGCATGACCAGATAAACTCAAATTGGAATATGAACTAGAAAAGGCTAAGATGATGGAACGGTTGAGAACATAGTTTTTATAATTTTTATTGTTTATTGCTTTTATGGTTTTTAAATGTATTGTGATGTGATTTCTTTTTTGCTTTTAACCGATGTATGTATTTTTATATATGGCATCTAATTGTGCCAATTTGTGCGCCGCCCTGAGTCGCCTTCAGGCTGATATGGGCGGGATAGAAGTGATTAAAATAAATAAATAAAGAACGGTTGGCTCTGGTTTACATTTACACAGGAGACCACCAACAAAAACCAGGTCCTGTAAGCTATATTTCAGAAGGAGGGACTGACAAAATCACTTTTGAGATAATATTTGCCAAAGAAAACCCGATGTAATTAATGGAGTCACTATAAGTTGACAGGTGTTAACTTTGAGACACATACACACACCAAGTGGGACCTCAAAATTAGGAGAAGAATAATTCAGAGGTGGATTCCTCCACATCCTAAACAGGTACCTAAAAACAAAGAATGGGTAGCTGTCTGCCAGCAACATAACTCAGGCCAAAAAACATGCAGATATTAAGGGTCTAGGGTTTAACTGTTTATTAGGTCACTTTTCAGTGGGAGTGCACTGATCTTGAAGGACTAGATTTACAGTGGGTGAGTGCTATGAGACTGCCCATGTAAACTGACACATAAATACTATCCATGGCCAGAAACACCTTTTATCAAGTTAAGAACATGTTCTTTACCTCAAAAGAATTATTTTAATGTGGTGATTCATGTTGTGAAAACACCACACTGGTTTACCAGTGGACCACCTATTACAATGCAGCCTGAGCCCTACCACATGCACAATGGAGAACCTTCTTATAGCAACATCAGAGGCACTCCCAAGTGGCCAGCTACTCATCAAAGAACATTTAATATAATTCCAAGTTTTTTTTTAATTTTGTGTTTTTAAATACATTATAACTGTACCCTCGGTTCGCTCCTGATACGATAAATAAATAACTGGTTTACTCCAAAAAGCATGAAGACCTTTGAAATTATTCAAAATAGCACCACTTAACTCAATTTAACTCCTTCTCACAAACCAAATTGCTGAGAAAAGCGGTATATTTCAGTTATAAGTGGTGTTAATTTTTTTAATATTGCTGTTTATATGTGGTTTATAGGTGGTTGCTAGGACTTTGTCTTATAAGCTGCTTGGAGGCTGGTATCAGAAAGATAGGATGCAAATATTCTAAACGAACAAATGAATAATAAAAATTGTTATCATGAGAAACGTTTCAGAGATTATTTCAAATGGGTTGTGATATGATAATTTTTTTTCTTAGAAAGCGCTTACAATTTGCTAATTAAATTACAATGGAAAGAATTTAGCGAATTCTAACCAGAATTCCACTAGTGCACAATTGATTTATTGCTTTCTCTATTGATCTGCAGTCCCTAATACCTTTTGAAGATTGAGGGAACATCTAGAAATCAGTCAAAATGGAGATCATGCCTATTCTACCCCAAGTATGACGAAAAGTTATTTACAATTAATGCAATACGTTTTTTTAGAACCTGCTGAAAGAAACAGGTTGAATTTTACTTTCTCCTGTATAGTTTGTAAGGGAGGGGGGGATCTGAAGTTCAATGAATAAAAAATCTGAGTACTATAAGGTAATATGAGACAACCAAGGTGAATTACTACAATTATGTTTTGTATAGTCATGTTTTACCTTCAGATCCAAATATTCAAGATCTTTCTTCAGCTGGATATAGGTATCATCAGCCTGCAAATGAAAGTACACAACAATAATACAACACAATGTATCACATTATTGGACTTGATTACTATCTGGCAAATAGTTCTGGAAATGTCAGCAAAAGCATAGCCAACTAGGAAAATCAGAATTTATAAATATTATCACTAATGTTTATGGGTGAATGACAAATGTTCTAAGTGCAGCAACAGGGCAATCTATCACCTTTAGTTATCCTCCAAACATGAAGACAACAGGTTATTTTCCTTTTTACAGGTATATAAAATTATTTTAAATAACAAAGGCACTTTTAGGAGGAAGTTATGGTGTTATCTATACTAAAATTTTCATAGTTAAAACTATCCCAATAGAGAAGTTTCATAGCTTCTTCATAGATTACAATTTTGCAAATATCTATTGTTTTCAGTAAACTGATTAACATACTCTTCTTACCCTTTCTACTCTCCATTTTAACACCCTTTTCTTTGAACTTCCTTTTATAATGTTTGTTTGTTCTATTGATATAAACTAATATCTGAATTAAATCAAGTTAATTATAAAAACGATTACAATTTTTTAAAAATTTGATTACATATCCAAATCATTAGTCTTCTTAATCTCCAACTGCAGGAAATTAGATTCTTACTAAACATTAGGAAGAACTTCATGATGGTAAGAACTGTTCAACAGTGGAATACACTGCCTTGAGTGTGGTGGAGTCTCTTTCCCTTAGAGATTTTAAACAGAGATTGGATAACCATATGTTGGGACTGTGTGTTTGCATGACAGAAATTTGGACTGGATGGCACTTGTGGTCTCTTCCAACTCTATAACTGTTTATTTGACCCAAAATCCAATTGTTAGTTCCCAAGAGAATAAAATGATCGAACCAGTAGAAACTTAATTGGTAGTACTTACTCAGGTGCTATTGATTCAATGTGTCCATTCTCTTGTTGAGCTGATCAACTGGATTTAGGCAACTGTGACTAAGACATTTTTTATTCATTATGTCAGGTGAAACCTATTTTAATATTCTGATTTACTCAAACTTATATTCAGAATATTTTGTCCATTATTTCCCTTCTATATTTGCAGATTCCTCTTGTTAAAAAAATCTTACAATAAAATGTAGACAAGATACAAATTATGCCATTATTTATGACAAAATTCATGTCATAATTTATTAATGACATGATTTGTTTCTTATCTACATTTTATTGTTAGATTTCCTTAACTGGAAAACTGCAATTAATTAGTGGAAATAACTGACAAAATATTCATATATATTTTTTGCTATTAATTTCTCCAGCTGTTATGAGACCATTTCCAGATAGGTCTAGTACTTTCTGGTCTATGAGGCAACTCTTTCTAATGCATTGCATTTTCATTCCAAACTTTAAAACTAAAGTTCTCTTATTGTAGTTTATGAAGAGTAGCATTATTTATATACTTCTTCCTTGGATATATAGGACTAGCACAAAAAGAAAAAAAAACCTTGAGTACGATACAATAATGTATGTGTGAGAAAATGAAATAAGGCTGAAGTAATATTGACCGTCCCCCATTTTTAATATATCAGAGTTTGAAAGAGAGAAAAAACAAGCAGGATGTGGTAAAGCAAGCAACTTCCATCATAAATGATAGGAAAGACTTACTTTTCAGCCCAAATGAATAAATCTGCAAACTAGTAAGCTTGTATTTGAACATATTTTTTTAAAAGCAACATTCACAAAAATAACAAAGCAAAATAATATTCATAAAGCAGTTAATCATATGCCATAGCACCATGTAGTTTAAAAATGCTCATAATCTCCAGCACATGCCAGAGCAATGTAAAACCACAAATGATTCAGACTTGAAGAATGGGCAAGAAAGCACAGACTCAAGCATGGCACCAAAGAAGCACTTGCAGAGTCACAGAACGCCATGTACAGCACAGATGACCCAATCAGCAGCTGACCTTGTAAGTGGAATTAGTTGGCAAGTGCTGCAGTAATTGGGCGATAGTGTAATTTCGTATACTAGCCAACTTAGCCTGATGTCTCCTTAATCGAATGAGAAGCAATGTTAGCTCTTCAGGCTGTAGGTATTTGGACACATTGTAAAGAGGAAATTAGCAATTTTCAGGGAGAGTCACTGTAGGTATAATTCTTCACCTAAGGTGTCCAGAAAATGTTTATTTGGCATGATTAGCAATTATTCCATATTTTTTCCATTGGCTGGAATACTGTATTTTAATGTCAGAACACAGAAAAGCAAAGCAAGGCCAATTCTTCTCCTGACTATAGTAAACAATTCTGCTTACAATGATTCCAGTGGCAGTTGAACACAGGCTACCCTTAATGCCAGGAAGTTCAAGTTACTTGATTCCATTAACAAGACATGAAAAATCAATGAAGACCATTTTGGATTCAGACATCCTTAGAAGTTATAGTAGAATCAGCTGGGATATAGGAAGAGAAGGAAACAGTAAATGCTTATACTTACCGATTTACCATGCAAACTTGGAGCACTTACAGTATGGGTCATATATCCCATTGTAGGCATAGAGCGCCTATCTATGTGTGCTGAGTTCTGCATAAATGGAAAAACAGCATGAACAGAAATCTCAAGCTGTAAGATATATTTAGATCTTTTTACACATATCAAACTCACAGTTCCAAACTCCTGCACTGGAGTGAACTGATTTAAATAAATAACTTCTCTTGACACCTATATACCCTATCCTATGGCAGATACTATCTAACTAGCCTAAACAATAAACTAAGTTAATTTGCAATTGATACAAGTTTACAATGAACTTCTTTTTCTCCCCCAGATTTTCTATGAACAACTGCTTGCATTTCATTCATAGGCTATTAGCATGGATGAGCCAATATCCCCAGTTTAAGTATATGTTAAACCTATATCTGCCTAGCTGCTGAGGAGGAGGTGAGCTGACCTTGATAATATCAATATAAATGAAAAATATAAAATTCTTATAGATTATCAAGCAATCTATAGCTTTACTTTCAGGAACTCTGTGGCTCAGTGTAATATTAACAAGCTGACTAGTAGAACAGGAAAATATAGTAATGTGGGCTATTTACCTTTCTAGTTTGGTTTCGAATCTTCCTTGGAGATCCAGCAAAAGGCATATCTATCATCTGTCTCTCATCAGGTGGTTTGACAGTCACCCTTTCTGCAGGAGTATGTGGTCGTCGGGGAGGAAAGATTTTAGGTGGTCCTGGTGGAGGGATATCAGAAGGAGATGGAGGAACAGAAACTGAACGTGGAACATCTAGTGAACTTCTTCCCTTTCCACGGTCGGTAAAGTCCGGGGAACCAATATAAACAGGTGCAGTCGGACTGCCATGTTTAAACTGCTGCCTTTGTTGCCACTCATATAGCTGCCATACAGTACCATCTTTATTTGCTCTTCTCTCATCATGGGACATCTTCAAGTGGCTAACACGGTCTTGAGCATATTTGTAGTCACTTGGCAAATTACGGTTTGTAGGAGGTGAGCTTCCTGAAGGCTGCCTGGTATTCTTTGGCAATGTATGATAGTTTTCAGGAAAGGATACCGAATGACTTGGTGCTTGTCGAGTAAGAGTCTGATCAGATACAAGACTGTGTGAGAAAATGGTGAAATGCCACAAAATTAATTTTAGGAATAAACAATAGTTAAATTTTACTGGCCTCAGTAATCAGTACATATATTTTTTTCAGGCTGACCTGTAACGGTGTGTACCCTCAAGTTAGTTTTGCTTCTTGGCAAAGGGATTCTGCAGTTGATCAAAGCATCAGTGAAACAAACAAAATGAAATTTTCACACCATGGGAAGCACTACTTATATGAAGTCATTAAATTTGCCGTCCATCTGTTTTCGGTAAGAAATGCTCTAGCACTTTTTTTTTAGCTGAGTGTTGGGAAAAGATTGCAAGAGATCTAGTTTGAATCTTTGCCTCTGGTACCGAATTTTCCATTAAAGAAGAAATGCCAAGAAACACATCTGCTTTGTTAACTGAGGTATACCTGTATCTTCCACACACAAAAAAACCTCAAGCAGAATCAAGGTACTACCTCAAGTGAAACTGAATAGTTACCTGGCTCCATGGCATAATGATTAATTCTGGTTCAACTGAAAAGTAGCTCAGAGCCTGACTAACTAATTTAACAGGAAGTCATCATGTCACATAAGTAGCCTCATCTTTTGCACAATTAAGGAGCTATTGATTTCATGCATCAAGTGACTCTGCTGGGCTTTCTGCCAAATTAACATTCAAGGAAACATTCTTTTTGCCTGGAAGAAAACAAGCAGAGACTCATAGCACTTGGGTTGCAACCAACACTGCAACTAGGGTTGGGCAACAAATTACCCAAAATAAGCTACACAGAGAACACCGATAAGATGAGAATAACACTCTGATTGGTATACCTCTCCAAAAACAATTTATCAGATACTGTGATTCAAACAAGGTGTAAAAACTGTCATTTACGGATCAAGGCCAAAATAAAACACAATGAGGTGCCACTTAATATCCTTTTTTAACAAACCCCGAAACAGGAGTATTCATGAAATGTTAAATAGCTGATAGGAGACAAACAAGTTCCTTTCTTGTTTTTGTTGGTTCTAAAGTCTAGTTTTATTTTAATCTCTTATCCATGGGGATCATGTCTTCCCCTAGGAAGGATGACCAGCCTCCAATAAAATGAGTTCTAGCTTTGCCTGGCTTCTTGCATGCAGCCAGAGAGAACTGTGTGAGCTGTAATATTTACTGGGTATTGGGAGTTCACTATGCAAAATCTAAGAATCAAAGGAACTCTCTGAAATGCTATATATTTATTTCAATTTACACTGAATAAGTAGGTTTGATTAAGAATAACCATAGACATCTTGTTGGATTTAATGGTGCTGTACTATAATCATGAGTTGTCCCTTTGCACCAAACTACTGCATAACAAAAATGAGGGTGCTATGGGATACATGCAGCCCCCAAATGCCACTTTTGTTATTTCTGGAAACCTTCAACAATCCTTTAAGGCCTCCACAGTAATATTTTTTCAGACTGAAAATCATAAACACATATGATGTGATATCTCTGTGTGCTGAAGCAGTGGGGAACATGCAAGGTCATGTAGAGGGAAGTTTTGCCCCCAATGCCCTATAGATTTGCTCATCCATGCTGTAGAATCCGTTTGACACAATACTATAGGAACAGCCAGGCAAGGCACTGTAGAATGATACTATTTTCCTTCTTCTATTATAATATTTTTAAAAGAAAATTTATCTTGGAATTCATACAAATTACATATTATAAGAATAAGAGATAGTGGGTGAAAAAAGAAGCAAGGTACCAAAGTGTAACTTTTAAACAGTAAAGTAGGCAAGCATGGCTTACTACTAACCTTTTTGTGTCTCCTTTCTGGACTTTCACCCAGTGTTCTATATGAGCCATGTTGTTTTTCCTTTGTGTTTGCTTATTTTGAGCTGGTCTGGGAATAAATCCTCGTTTATACAAACTGACACCATTCTGCTCTACTGGCCCAGTACTTGCATTTAATGAATTGGAAAGCATTCCATTCTTTTCAAAAGGCGGAGCTGTTTGGGACCGAGACACACTTGATTCTGGATTCAATGTGCCAACTTCTAACAGACGTTTAGATTTCTCCCTTTTTGATTCCACAGTGTTCTTCCTGATAGTATAATGTCCATCTTCTCTTGTTTTTTTCTTCTCTTCATGCTTATTATATGCAGAGGTTTCAGGTGATTTTCTATAGTTTCCTTTTGAATCAGCAAGATCTAACTTTGTACAATCTTTGCAGGCATCTATGTGATTAGCCTGGGGAACAGCTTGCTGGTCTATTTTTCCTATTTCTCTATGGAAAAAACAAATACATCAACTAAAGTCAACACTTTATTTAGATTAGACAAAAACTGGGTGAAGTATTTTGTTACATACTCAAAATAAGGAAAGCAGTGGCTGTCTACCAGGGCTGGGTGGTTTCATTTCGTAATTTCGTAATTCGTTAAAAATTCATTATTTTTTTTTTGTTACGAAGCGATAACGAACCATTCAGGAGCATCTAAAAAACGAAACGAATTTTTCAATTCGTTTAGTAATTGCTTCGTATTCGGTTCGAAATCGTTTCGAAATCGTTTCGTTATTATTTCCGCATGTCTGGGGCAAGTTTTATAGCTGTTGTTTGTTTAATCAGTGAAAAAAAAATATAAATATCACACCAACAGTCAACAACAGAGGGAGAGGGAAGCTTCAGAAGTTCCCCCTGTCCCATATGGAGGTTTTTTAGCGTATTGCGCGGTCGCGTCCACCATTAACGAATCAATTCGTATTCGTTTCGCATTCGTTTCGTATTGTTTCACAATTTTACGAAATTTCGTAAATATCGTACTTTTTTAAAGAAAAAATTCGGAATTCTTTTAAATATCGAAACGCAAAAAACCCCAAAAAACGAATCGAGTTTAGAAACAAATTTTTCCGTGGTTGCCCAGCCCTACTGTCTACCACACATGGTAGCACAGCAGGCATCTTTACTGGAGTTCATTGAACCCATTTTCATTTGCATTTGACTTTTCTTGTAAAAACAAAAATATAAATGTAACATTTGAATACTGAAAGTATGCAATTAGGGTAGAAACATATAGTATTTGAGATACTGTTGAATTAAAAACCAATTTTATTATTTGTAATAAACATGGCTTTTTCATGCTATTAAGCCTGCTTTCAGGAAAAAAACACATTTTGATGTTCCTTAACATTTACAAAATGTAGCTATTTGGTCAATTATTATAGTACTACTGATTGCAGTGGGTGTGATATTTGCCATTAGCTGAATGGTTTGAGGAGTAATTGCCAGTATTACAGAACAATTATTTTAAACTCGGTTCATCCTGGCACAACATTCCTTAGTGCTCATCCCGGAAGAGCATTCTTTGTTGTGAGAACAGTAAGCCTACCTAGGAAAAGTGATTTTGAGGGAGTGATCTTACTTCAGCTCCTTAACTTTCTCTATTTTTATAGTTTCTAGGGTATTGTTCCATTCTGAGAAGACTCCACGCCCCTTTTACCAATAGATACCTTAAAAATGTCATTGTTGTAAAAAAATTGCATCAAAAAACAACCTGGGGATCACAACCAGACACAGTGAAGACATCTGCCCTTGCGCTATGCTACTCTGCTGCTGAGTACGCATGCCCAGTGTGGAACACATCTCACCATACTAAAACAGTGGATGTGGCTCTTAATGAGACATGCCGCATTATCACAGGGTGTCTGCGCCCTACACCACTGGAGAAATTACACTGCTTAGCCAGTATTGCACCACCTGACATCCGCTGGGAAGTAGCAACCAATAGTGAAAGAACCAAGGCAGTGACATCTCCAGCTCATCCCTTGTTTGGTATCAGCCAGCACGTCAACAACTTAAATCAAGAAATAGTTTTCTAAGATCTACAAAGACACTCGCTGGAACACCTCAGCAAATGAGAGTCCAAAAGTGGCAGGCTCAAACCCAGCACCTCAATCCGTGGGTGATACCAGATGAGAGACTCCCTCCTGGGCAGACAGAAGAATGGGCAACTTGGAAGGCGCTGAACAGACTGCGCTCTGGCACCACGAGATGCAGAGCCAATCTTAAGAAATGGGGCTACAAAGTTGAATCCATGACATGCGAGTGCGGAGAAGAGCAAACCACAGACCACCTGCTGCAATGCAACCTGAGCCCTGCTACATGCACAATGGAGGACCTTCTTGCAGCAACACCAGAGGCACTCCAAGTAGCCAGATACTGGTCAAAGGACATTTAATCAACTACCAAGTTTGCAAAATTTGTGTTTTTTTATCTGTTTGTTTGTTTTGTTCTATTAGAAATGTAATACAACGGTATGGTTGCTGATGACACGATAAATAAATAAATAAATAAAACCAGAGCTAAGATTGTATAATAGAGATCTTTCACGGTCTCAGAAGTCATTTCAAGAACCAGTGTTCATAGAACTGAAGTGGAAGGCAGTAAAGGCTAGGCAACATGTTTTATTTAATATTTTTATGTGCTGCCTTTTGGAGGAAAAAAGGCCTCCTAAAATTTTGTTGAAGGCTTTCATGTCCGGAATCACCGGGTTGTTGTAGGTTTTTTTGGGCTATATGGCCATGTTCTAGAGGCATTCTCTCCTGACATTTCGCCTGCATCTATGGCAAGCATCCTCAGAGGTAGTGACAGACCTCACTACCTCTGAGGATGCTTGCCATAGATGCAGGCAAAACGTCAGGAGAGAATGCCTCTAGAACATGGCCATATAGCCCGAAAAAACCTACAACAACCCTCCTAAAATTGTTTACAAAAACCTAGAAAATAAACAAAAATACAACTAAAACCAATCAAGACCAAACATATTCTGACAAGCAACTGCTGACTTGCTGATTCACATATTTTTATCCAATTTTAATAGAGTTCATACATAGATTACCAAAATATGGTGTCTGGAATTTATCTCATGCCCAAAACAGATATCTCTGTATTTTTATGTCTCACACAAAAAGTCTATTAAAGACTCGGTAAAACAAAAATGGTGTTAAAGTCCACTTAAAGATAATTACTGAAAAGGCTATGCATACTTTTCTACAGATAAAATTTCCTAGACAACAAATACAAAACCTCCTGTTGCTTCCCCAAAAGACCATTTTGAGACACAGAAAGCTTGTGTCCTAAACCAAATATTCCTTATGCCTTTATATTTTTGAAAAAAACAAGACTGAATGCAGTCATAAAATACACAAATCATAAAAAGTACTATTAATGAGTGATACACACACACACACAGTCTAACTGTAAGAAATAAAGCTAAATGTATTCTTGTACAGTTTGATCCCATCCATATTTGGCAGCCCCTAAAAATTCCACAAAATCTATTTATGTGGTTCTAAACAATACAAATGCCTTCCAAAATCCTTTGCTTTCACAAACATACAGGGTACCATGTATTTCTTATTAGTCTGATAATTTTCTTCAGAGAAACACAATTCAAAACGTATTGGTATGTCTCAACAAGAACATCTGAACATATAATTTTAAAATTACTTGAGCATTAGTTAATCATAGAATCATAGAGTTGGAAGAGACCTTGTGGGCCATCCAGGCCAACCCCCTGCCAAGAAGCAGGAAAATAACATTCAAAGCACCCCCAAGAGATGGCCACCCAGCCTCTCTTTAAAAGCCTCCAAAGAAGGAACTCTACCACACTCCAGGGCAGAGAGTTCCACTGCTGAACAGTTCTCACAGTTAGGAAGTTCTTTCTCGTGTTTAAGTGGAATCTCCTTTTCTGTAGTTTGAAGCTATAGTTCCATCTCCAGGGCAGCAGAAAAGAAATTGCTCCCTCCTCCCTATGACTTCCCCTCACATATTTATACATGGCCATCGTGTCTCCTCTCAGCCTTCTCTTCTGCAGGCTAAACATGCCCAGCTCTTTAAGCCGCTCCTCATAGTGCTTATTCTCCAGACCCTTGATCATTTCAATCGCCCTCCTCTGGACACATTCCAGCTTGTCAACATCTCCCTTCAATTGTGGTGCCCAGAATTGGACACAGTATTCCAGGTGTGTACTGACCAAGGCAGAATAGAGGGGTAGCATGACTTTTACTGGATCTAGACACTATACTCCTATTTATGAAGGTCACCACATGACATTGTTGGCTCATGTTTAACTTGTTGTCCATGAAGACTCCAAGATCTTTTTCACACATACTGCTGTCAAGCCAGGCATCCCCCCCCCCCCCCCCATTCTGTATCTTTGCATTTAATTTTTCCTGCCTAAATGGAGTCTCTTGCATTTGTCCTTGTTGAACTTCATTTTGTTAGTTTTTGGCCCGTCTCTAATCATTGTACATTAAAATCAAGAGCATTTGGGAACATTTTAATGTAAAAAGTACTTTTTAACACTACTAATGAAAGAGAGAGGGGGGAAGGCATATGCATACACACAGTTTACAATTTATCTAAGACATATGTAAATCCCTGGACTTACCTCTTTGGTGATGACCGTGTTTGCATAAGGGCAGCTTGATTCATAGCCCGGATCCAGCAATTCATATCTTCTTGAGTATCTGCACTAAAGTAGTACGTGCGCATCCCTGAATGCTCTGCCTGAGAGCCAATAATAGAATTCTTATTACAGATATATGCTCTCATACCTGTATGGACAGCCTGTAAGAGTAGAGACAGAAGAATTAGACAACTTTAAAAGAGGAAAGATATCCCACCAAAAACCCTGTGTGCTTATTAACGTAGCGTGGTTATTTTAAAAATGCCACAAAATTGCTAAATAATGAAAGAATAGCCAAAATGAAAGATGCATTACTCATAAGACTATACTGCAACAATTTAGCATGCTGCAGCTTTTCCCTAAGAGCATTTCTGGTAGAGCATGTTTACATTTTAATTTCATATCACTGTGACACCACTGTAGAATTATTTCTCTACTTATAACTCTAATCTCTTATGGTGTTCCTGTACTCTACTACACTCTACTTACTACATCCACTACCCTAACAGGCTAACAGGTGTTATATTTGCTCATTCCTTTGATATATTTATGATTTATTGTGTCAATATATTTTATCAATCATTATATGAAGAATTTGAAGTATATGAAGGAATTATTGTGCCATCAATCTATTTTAAAGTATCATTTTAAAGGAAGACAAACTTTCATTTTTATTACACTATATAAAGATATTGTTAAAAGTTTGTTGCAAAATTACACGAGATTGATGAAAATTATGAAAAGTTTGACTATATATTTAGTAGGATGTTATTAACATTGTCCATACGTAATAGGTATGTATATGCAACTATGCAAAACAACTGCTAAAAAAGACTTAGAAGCATCATAATAAGCATCACGATAGAGCCATTAGTGGAAAGTACAATGTCTTACTGTACAGATTCATGAGCCATGCTACCAGCGGCATAACATGCAAAGAAACATACGCCAGAGGAGCAAACAAAATAACAAGGAGTAAAAATGGTAAAGAATCAGTACAACTGGGTTAGAATGGCATGTTACAGCAAGATGGATGCCAACATAACACACCCTAAAATCAAAACAAACATTTTCATCTTCTATCTATATCACCAAGGCTATATACAAACAGAGAACCTCAACACCAACAGAATGTGCTCATTCATGAGCTGGCAGCAGTGAACATCCTGATTATTAAACATCCAAAGCAAGAAACTTTGGTATATTCCAAAGTAAAGAACCAATGGTGACAAGAACATCCTATTACTGTTGGTATGTTTCCCACACAAAAGCTTTATGCAATATGCAATAGAATCCTATATCATCAATCTAAGTCAAGGGACCGAGGCCAACCTGTTGGAATTTCAAGCACAGTCTAGAAAAATCCCTAGATATCCCTCCTCCTCTCCGAGTGACTGTCAAGCAATTATCAGCTGATATGTACCCAATTTATCCCACCCCTATCCCTTTTATCCCTTATGTAATGTTATTATTGTTTTCATGTTATTATATTTCATTCTATGTGTTATGTATTTTATGTATGGTATCTTTGTGTACTATTTTGCAAGCCGCCCCAGTCCTATGGGAGATGGTGGTGAGGTATAAATAAAGTATCATCATCATCATCATCATCATCATCACCATCACCATCATCATTAGACCCAAATGAAGACCTATGTCTTCTGGCAGGCCTACCCAGTCAACTCTAAATCATAATTTTTGGATTTGCATTCTATTATCACTGTACCATGTGTCTGATATATATTTTTCATAATGCCGTGTTTTGATATTTTTCATAATGGTGTGATATATGTATTTTATTGTATGTATTTTATGTTGCTTTGTTTTGATTGTGCTGTACCCCTCCGTTAATAGAGGTGGGCAACCAATAAAATGAAGGAACTGATCCTACTTCCTATCTAACAAAGAAGTTTCATACATAATGAACATTGATAGGAACATGTCTCTTCTCAAACTGTGCTCCTCCAGATGTTTTGGACTTCAGCTCGCACAATTCCCAACAGCTGGTAAGCTGGATGGGATCTGAGAGCTGAAGTCCAAAATACCTGGAGGTGCACAGTTTGAGAAACACGGGTCTAGATTATGCTACTACATACATAAAAACAGGGATAACTTTTCATGGAAATATAAGTGATATAGTCCGATCTTGAATGCTTGAAACAGGATGCGTCTTATGGTATTTCTTGAAATGATCTTACATAGTTCTGTGAGTGGACTGTTCTCTATTTATCTGCTCAATCCTGTTAAAGGTTAAGTATGTCTTATCTGAAATGCTTGAGATCCAAAGTATTTTGGAATTTTTTGGATTCTGGAATACCTTTATTTACAGAGTGGGTGAAGTCCGTACCTTGGGATGTCTGACTTGGCCACGGTGGTCCACGCTTTGGTTACATCCTGTTTAGATTACTGCAACGCTCTCTACGTGGGGCTGCCTCTGAAGACTGCCTGGAAGCTGCAGCTAGTCTAATGCTCGGCAGCCAGATTTCTAACGGGTGCTGGGTACAGGGAGCATACAACCCCTCTGTTACGCCAGCTCCACTGGCTGCCGATTAGCTTCCGAGCACAATTCAAAGTGCTGGTTTTGACCTACAAAGCCCTAAACGACTCTGGCCCTGTTTACCTGTCCGAACGGATTCTCCCCTACGAACCATCAAGGTCTTTAAGATCTTCCAGGGGGGGGGGCTGCTCTCGATTCCACCACTGTCACAATCGCGGTTGGTGGGGATGAGAGACAGAGCCTTCTCGATGGTGGCTCCCCGGCTTTAGAACTGCTCCCTCCCTCCTGACATTCAGGAAGCTAACAAAGACTTGGCTATGGAATGCGGCCTTTGATAACTGAGTCAACTTTGGTCCACATGGAAGGAGAATGAATAACTGTGAATTATGACCAGGAATGCTTTGATGACGTGGCTATATAAGTGTGATGATGACGATGTTGTATTGTAATATGTTTTTAATTGTGTAATGATGATGCATTGTGTGGTTTGTATTTTTGTATATGAACACATGTTGTGAACCGGATCAGAGTCCCTCTTGTAGGTGAGAAAATCGGTATAGAAAACTTTTAAATAAATAAATAAATAAATAAATATACGTGCCAAATGAGATGGGACCCAGGTCACAAAGCAAAGATATCACTAGCTCAGCCACAAATGTGGAATATTTTGGATGTTAGGGTATTTCATAATTTTGAAATTCTAGATAAAGGGTGCTTAACTTGTACCACAGAAATCAGTATTTGAGTGATGTCTCAAATGTGGCATTTCCACATTTTTGTTTTATTTAAAGTTTTATTTTACATATTAAAATAGTGGATCACCTAATGATGATGCGATAGATTTCAAATATATTTTAAGCCACAAGGGCAGGAAAAGGGGGAAGAATCAGGCAGTGCTTATGAAACTGTAGGAATTTCAAGATGAACAAAGGTCAAAAAATTTCAGATGGCAGAGGTAATATATCCAGCTGAAAAGCCTTTAAAAGTTGGCTGAGGGATGAAGTCAACGACCATCAAAACAGACATCGGAAGAGAACAAAACAGAGGCTGAAGAGCATGAACAAAACTATTATCTCATTCAGTCGACTGCAAGAACGCTATTTTGTGGGAATTAGGCTCCATTTTTAAAGCATATTTAAACAACTGACTTGCAAAAGACGGAGAGAAAGCAGTAAATGACTGCATTTCTGAACATGCAGGAAGAAATGAATATAAGATCTATTTTAATGCAATATTAAATAATAGTTTTAGCGTATATTCATGAAATGGAGCAAGCCTTGAACGTACATTTTTAATCTCTCATTTTCCAGAAAAAGATATCAAAATGTCAAACTTTCTACGCTAAACTAACCAGAGATTCCCATTAGGCCCAAATACAAGCAGAAAAAAAGCAATTATAATATCTTTGAAAAAAATACAGATTTTAAGATTGAGGAACCTCAGGAGATTCTGTGAGAGAAAGGAAAATTACAGACTGGCTTTATTTTTAATACTGAAGTAAAAAATTACATAATATAGGCAACCTTCCAAGAGAGTAAATTTAAAATACATGGTGAAACAAAGAGGCAAATTTAGAAGAGCAATGATGTCATATTGTATATCTAAGGAAAGCCAAGAAAACACAGCATTACCAATTTTAAAATTCATAGTTAGTTTTTAAAAATGGGAGGAGATTCAGAAAAGATAATGAAGACATTAACATGACTTGAAAAAATAGCAATAAATGCTGTCAACAAGTCCAAAACACAAATTGGAAAATTACAATTTATAAAACAAAACAAAACTTTTTACAGTATTTGAAATAAAAAATAACAAGAAATGATGCATGAAGCAAAGTGCCACAAGCAAAATACACAAACCACTAATATTTCTACAAGATGCCAACTGTTTCCTGTAACTGTAAAACTTCCTTTAATGTCTGTGTTCAATCACTGCTGACTAGTGAGACAACTTGCCTGCTAAACATTCAATCTAAGTTGCCATGCATACAATTCCTGTGCAGTCTATAAAGACTCCAGTTTATACAGGGCAATCTATTTCCTGCTAGAGGATTAGACCAAAAGATAACTTAACAATTCTTGCCGGCTTCAAAAGAACAATGATAGTTTTGACAGCACAAAATCTATCTAATCTTGTGTGAAATCTTTCATAATATTTCAAACACACATAATGCTCAAATTGCTGAGTATTATCAGACTACTAATGCCTCGTAAAAACATCTCTCAACACATCTACCAATATTGTCAATTTTTTTCAGAACTGTCTTTTCCCAGTATGATTACATTTATGAACTCACCACTTCCTTTTGAAGAGCAGAACTGAAATTGCTTGAGTATGCATGTAAATTCTCTCTAAATTCAATACATGAAAGACTATACTTAGTATGGTGTATTGGTTTCTGTATTAAACACCAAGAACAGGGAAACTCTGACCCTTGATTGCTCTTGTTGGAGTCAGCTATTACAAACAGTGCTATGGATTTTGAAGAGACATAAATAAAGGGCAAAAGGGAGAAATATGCCAAGAGGAAGGAATGTCAATCAAACAATTGTTGGAACCGCCTTCCATCTGGAAATCAATGTCCCTGCTGCGAAAGACAGTACAAATCTCTACAGTCATTTACAGACCCACCACCAAGAATCTACGCTTGGAAGACAATCATAC